AATACAACAAAAGGAAAGCCGGGGTCGAACCGCAGTCTTGTTATTTTCTTTAAGGCTTTCTTGAAGACAGTTCTTTAATGTAATAACATAGTGTCGATTATGGATTTTTTTTTTCGCTACATGATTTACATGTGACATTATTTTTATTATTTTACAAGTCCTTAAGACTGCACTAGCGGATGCTAATCGTGCTTTTCCAAGATGCACAAGGCTTTATGTCTCGGAGAAAATGAACTTTGCTTTTGAAAAACCTGTTGGAATAGTCAGAGTTTGGGAACGCAAATAATGAGCAAAGCAATACAATGCCGCCCACTGAGCTTATTAATTAAAAAGTGCATTTTCCTATATGAATCTTCTGCTTTGGGATAAAGGTTTTATGCTGTTTAGACGTGGATTTTTTTTGCCTTCAATTTCTATCTCAATTGAGCTGGTCACAGTTGAATCCCTGTTGTTTGAATAGGAATGGTCCATTAGATGCTGATATTCAATTGACAATCGTCATTGAAATAAGCTTGAGCTGGTTAACGTTAAATATTCTCTTTTTAAATTTTAATTAGCATTGAACTTTTTTAGATCTTTATGCCCAAAATATAAGCTATGCCATGTAGTCTGCTTTTTAGTAATGTTAATACACTTAGGTCTAATTCTACGCTTTAATCAAACCTTGATTTTTCGTTGGGTTATTGAAAAACATTAAAGCAGTGACATTTGATATTGTTGTAGCTTATTAATTTGGACACAATTTCTTTTGATGAAGCTTATCCCCAATGCTTTCAAGTTTCAACCCTCTCCCTCCAACATAACCCCATTAGACCTTGGTAAAAGCCACCCATCTTAAAAATAGTTGAGAGGGAGTAGGGAAACTTAACTGAGAGGACTTAAGATATTCTGACAATGAAAATGTTAGGCCCATAGATCATGTTGTCATTCCCACCTGAATTTAATATCAATCATATCTGAATCAACCCTTTTATATTGGTAAAAAGAATTTTAGCTTTGTCCCTATGTTTTCAAACTTCAAACCCTTTTGGTCTAACTTTCATGTGCATTTGTTCTTAGTATATTGAATTGGTAGTAATCTTGTCAGTGGAATAATGCATGCGCATGAGCATGAATTTCTGTGCATGTTGATTAGAGAAAACAAATTTTATGTATGAATTATGATCAAGTTGCATTTTTTCCTTAGACCACCACAATGATTAATTAAATTCCAAAATGTTTGGTGTATTAAGTTGAGCAATCCTTCATGCTTAGTTATAAAATGACAGAGTTGGTTTCTAATAACAAAAATTTGTGAGCTCAAAAGGTACGCTGTACTTCTGTGACATTCTTACTGTGAATTTCTTATTAACTTGTGATTTCACATGATTTTTTTAATATTGCATAATCATTTAATGTAACCATTGTACCCTTTTCAATCACCTAAATTTGTGAAGAAAACATTTGCTTTCTAAATATTGTATAACTTCATCTTGTATTAAAGCGAGCACTTATAATACTTTTGGAGCATTGATTATGTTATGAATACAATTGTCTTCATTTCATTTGAATTGTACATTAGATCACTGGTGATCAACTTACGTGATTTATGAACTCAGAAAGCTGAACGCGTCACTATGTTCTTAACAGATAATAAATTGATGACAGGGAGATTTCCATACCTATCGTGGCTGACAGGACGTGCTTTCTCTCTTCTGTCATCTAGGGCTGATTCTTGGGTCTCCCCATCTGATCTCTCCTCGAGATCTAGTGCTGCCTTACTTGAGCTGATTGCTGAAAATCGTGCTTCCATTCTGGCCGGGCAGCTTATACTCAATCAAGACTGGCACTTGCACCACCATGCAATGGAAAACCTAGGGCAGGCCCAACCTGGGTCCGGTTCTATAGGAGTTCAGCAGCATCACTCATTACCTGAGCCTCACCGTTGGGACAGGTTTCCTGAAACCGGTGCTCAAGTGACATTAGATCTCATGCAGGCTTCAAACTCAGCATTTGGAATGTTGTCTGTGGGGGAGAAAACAAAGGAAGAGTAAGAAGAGTGTTCGGAGTTGTGGAATTCCTTGGAGGGAGTTGAATTCCCATTATTTATTGGCTTGAAATACTGTAGTAGTTGCTTGATTTTCTAGGATGATTATTAATATTGATTGTTGGACTGTATAATTCATTCATAGTATGAGAACAATTGTCTTCACTTTGTTCTATGTAACATAAATTTCTGACAGTTTTCATTCAATCATGTGGTGATAAATATATATATTTATTTAGAACAATTAATTTCATAAATGCATTTGATGAATTTCCACCAGTTATCCTTTGGACTCATTTTGAATTGAGCTGTGAGAGTTGAGCATTTTCTAGTTCACACTTTCGACGTAACCAAATTAATTTCTTGAAATATACTTGAATGATGCTTTAAGTTTTCAGAGTTCATAGAAGAGACTGACAACAAACTTTTGGAGTTTGGACCACAACCTTATAATTGGGGCAACAAAAGTCAGGTTGAATCTGGCCCTGGTTTGTTGAGTTCAGTAACATTTTGCAAGTAAATTTGTTGGGGCTGAACTCGGATTTTCATTTCTGAAATTGATGTATGCTGAATATTTCATGCTTAATTTGTGATCATTTATCAATATATAGTTGATGCATAGTCGGCATTAGGCACCTTTTTATCATTAATTGAAGGAATTTAAGCTTAATTAGCAGCTTAATTATATAGTACTGCGCTCGCTGTGCATCTTGTTGAATGATTTTCCAGCATAATGAAAGTTAATTGGCTATTTAAACTAAAATTATTAGTAATGATATTAAACGTTTTACAAATTACTTTAACTTATATACCTAATTAATATAATTAATCTTAACTCAGTGAACTATATATCTTGGATCAATTAATTATTAATCCAAGACAATTGAGGATGTTGTGTCTTGCCCTGTAACGTGTTTCCAAAGAAGTATCATAGCCTTTTTGTCCGCTTGTTTTTAACTAGTTAAGCATACTCGAATTCCGGACAGGTTTAAGCAGATTCATCTCCTATCTCAATCAATTAATAATTTTCTTTTGTAAAGTAATAAAGGACTGATATTGGTGAAGGCCAAAGAAAATTATGTCTGCCCAAGTTTAAATCGTCTCAAAAGAAATTATTCCCTCCCTCTTAAAATAACAATCCTTTTATTATTTTTAATAAAAAAATTTTAAAATAAAATTTATAATTTGAAAAACATATTAACCTAATTTAGGTGGTAAGGATGGGAATAGGGATGATGGGAAATTTTCTGATATATGGATTTAAAAATTTTGACCTATAATGGCTACATATAAATATGTCAATGATATATTTATGGCTACATTTTGTGTCTTTCAAAATCGAAAGTAACCCACCGCCAAGAAGAAAAAAAAAGGAACAAAACTCCCTTTCACGATCACGCACATGGCAAAAGCTAGCTACCAAATCCGAAAGGCTTCCGATACTAACTGTTGGGAACTATAAATCCATATCATGCCAAATCAGTTGAGGCCGCCACTTTTACATGAACTGTTAAACCATAAGAGAAAAACCACGTGGCAACGAGGCTTTGTTTTAGTGATAAAAAGAATCCTAAAACTCTGAGGACAGGCGGTAAATAAAAGAGAAAAAAAATTGTGTGAGGGACCCTACAAAAGCTGGAGAATGGGGAGCTAAGGGATTTGCTGCACTCGTACCCCGAAGCAAAACGTGAAACGTTGCTTGACAAACCCTTTGTCCAAACACACGCAGGGAAAGGGAAAAAGAAAAGAAGTTCCGTGATCCGTCCCCCATGTATCTTCTTTGCAAACCAAGAAAAAAAAATCATTTATAAATGAAATAGTTCTGAAAAACATAGGCGAAGTCCGTAAGTGGGCCATGCCCCACCTGACCTTAGACATATTCATGTGGTTCTACAATTTAAACAGTGGTATTTGGTACCAAGCTGCCGCCTGGTCCACCACCATAGCATTCATTACGTCTACTCATCTGATGGGTAACTCAATAAAAGAAAATCTTTTTCTTTTATCCTTTTGGTTTCTCTGTTTATTAACTATTAACTACACAATTACCAAATCTCTTTTAACAGCCGTTTTTTTAGCTTTAAATGTCGGTAGTTTGAAACTGAGTTTAATCATCTCACCTATCGAAGATAACTGGTTCTTAAGTGAGATGAGTTCGATATATTAATATCGCTTTCAACATTCCACTTTGTACATGATGTCGGACAATCATATTTACATGCTATGCTATGTTACATGAATTTTTTATTTTATTTTTTACTCTATTTTGGTGATTATTTATATATATATATGACAATTTGATCTTTCAAAATTAATATAAAAAAAATTAAAATCATAACAAATATTCGGAAATCCAAATAAACATAGCATAGCTACAAAATATTATTAGGAAATTTCTCTGTTATTAGAAGGTGCGAATTAGGAAATTTGATATATTTTGAGACCAAAACAAACGCTAAAGATTAGGATTGAAGTTAAAACACCGACATATTGAAATGGGTACAAATATAAAAAGTTGATTTCCTCGAAGTTGCAAGGAGGTTTCCGAATGATTTATAGTAAAGCTTAAAGGAAACCCCCTCACTCCGGTTACTAACCCACATACACATAATTTTAATGAAAGAGGCCATAATAATAAAACAAACATAAGATCTCATCATCACTTAGGAACAAAAGTGCCAACTTTCATCTCTGGAATGTCCCGTCGGTCTCAACCCACTGAGATTGCAAGAAAAAGCTACATGCTTTGCCTTCCTTAGCTATCTTCTGCCTTGACATCCCAATGATTTAACTCATGTATTTGTTATTTTGAACTGAAGTACCTGTATCTGTACGGTCAAGAAAAGCTTTGAGAAGAAGAGTGTTATTAGTATTTTATTAATAAATCATACCATTGTTGACAATAATATTATATTTAAATTACTCATAATTAACTGATTGACAATAATATTATATTTAAATTGCTCATAATTAACTGATATGAATGTTCCAAAATTTTCTATGTTGAAAGAAGTGAACATATCAGTATATGGCAGAATAATTTTTCAGTGAGACGAAGGCAGGGAACAGATCAAATGGGTTCCTTCGGCAACGTATAAACTGGTTGAGATCGATCAAATCAAATGTCAAATTAACAAAGTAAGGCGATATTTTGTCTCGCGTAGGCCCCAGTCTAATGGGCCCCTTTTTAGCATCTTTTACCACTCTCTGAAATCCTAACAAAAACATAGCCACACAGAAATGAATGATGATGACGACGACGATGATGTTATGAGAGAGAATTTGGAAACATCAGATTGATTTTCTTCATGATAGCTTTCTTCGGTACGGCCAGCTTCCGTAGAGGAGACAACTTGATTGCCTATCCTCTTCCTTAGTCCCTAGCCCAGTAGCCCTCCCTCCCCTTTCAACTTTCCCAGAAATTTCGTACCATGCCATTTGGTTATTTTTCTTTACATATACAGTGTTACGCAGCATTTTCCGGGAAAATTCCAATACCAGACAAAAAGGATAACAATTCGATTCCCAAAATGCAAAAAAAAACCTGCAAAGTGCACAGCCCCGTTCCTGACTAAATTACACCGTATGAAAAAGAGTACTTTCTAAACAAAATTTTCACTCTCGCACTGGGACAATTGATCATGTCCCTTCCAAAATTATATTCTATATATGCAGAGATACAAACACTACGAATTAGAATAATAATTGGGAACTTATACATATATATTTGCAATTATATATATTAGATGCTCTATATTAGCCCAAATTTCTTGATGTTTAGGATAAGCTAACACCAAATGATATTACAACTTGAAATTTCAGAGATAAAAGTGAAGAGAAAATCATACTAGAGACATTCAACTTGTTATTGCAAAAGCTAATTCTTAGGCTTCTCTTAAATCTCCATACAGTTCAATGGCATTACTTATTACTCATTATACCCACTCGAGAAAAAAAGTGTGCTTGATGATGATGAAGATGCCGTTGCATTGTAATTAGCTCTTTGCCTGAAACAATCCAATGACATTCGCGGTGGCGAAACTGCCACGGTTACTGATGAAGAAGACTGAACCACAGAATCCGGCGGTGACCCTATATACAAAAAATCTCAAACTAAGAAACCTCAAAAAAAAAAAAATCCTTACTGCTGTACTGTTTTCCTTGTCAATATGACAAAGAGAAGCTTTTTGAAAATGACTTACTTGTGGGTTTGTCAGAGGAGGCATAGCGGCCATTTTCAAGAAGGAGCGGCTTCTGATTTTCTTCGTTATTGGATTGTTGTTGAGATTTTCGCCTGCGACGATTGTGATCGGCCAATCTCTTTCGACAGCTACGCTTTCCATTGTCGAATTCTGAGAGAACATGGAATCTGTAGAAAGTTTTAAGAACCCCAACGTTAATGAAACTAAGCAGTGCAGTTATTATCGACTGTTGTGAGTTGAGTTGAGCAAAGCCAACACAACAGTATTACATGTCATGGGGGAATAAGCATGATCCTCAGACGATAATGCCCTCGGGATTTCTACAAGTACGGGAGAACCAATCATTTGTCTCACAACGTAATTCCAGGGGCACTTTCGTCAGCTCAATCCTCCTCCATATTCACAAGAAAAGAACGGAAGAAACAAAAATACTACTAAAAAAGAAGATTCAGGCAAACTGCGATAACGTATTGCAGAGAAAGAGAGAGAATATGAATGCATGTGGAGGGTGTTTCTGTAATTTAAAGGTAATTAAATGTGTTTTTCCGTCAACACAGCCTACTATAAGTGGCACAGCAAACGGTACGTAAACGGAAATAACAGGGAACTTTTACGGACACAAATGCTATCCGGATCACCCCACGTATGCGGTGGGCAATCATTGGCCCTCACAGGCACACAGGGGCACTTCCGTCATTCCAAACACATGGTTATCCTCATCGGTCATCCCTCCTCCAGAGAGCTTATCGAACACTCTATATGATTGTTACTGCAAAATTGGAAGTGGCATTTTAGTAAATTGCTTAAACCTGCTGCACTGCTGGCAGAATCGTTGAGTCAACCCGGCGGCGATGACGTTGGAGGCCTTGGAATGGAACTCGCAGACTTTATGGCGGCGATGGTAGTGCTTAGCGTGGGTAAGATCGGCATTGCAACCCTCGACTTGGCACCTCGGGCAGTTGGTCAAACTGGGATCTCCCGGTCTAGACCTGCGATAAAGCCGGTTTACAAAGTCATCCTCGGCAGAAGAAAAATACGTACGGCCACCTAAGTTGAGACCAATCCTCGCTGTAAAGTCAACAGGTCTAGAAACTTCCTCCGTCTTTGGAACCAGAAAGTAACCGCCTCCGCTGCCTCCAGCGCCGGAAGTATGGTCCAGGGAGAGCAACGAAGGGTGGGGTGTGGAGTAAGGCGACCCTCCAGAGTAGGCGCGTTGGTCGTATAGGGAGTGAAGATGGGCGTGAGATTGGGGTTGAGCTTGAGCTTGAGCTTGGTTAGGGCTAGGGAAATGGTTTTGGTGGGAAAAGGCAGTGTTGTTTGGATGGGAAAGGAGAGTTTCGATGAAAGATTGCTGGGTAGTGGTGGTGGTGGCATAGTGATCGAACACCTGACGATTCGGGTCTGGTTCTTGATGGGGCTCTTCACCAGATAGAATCATTGCTGACGGATTTCCCCATTCATATTCCAACATTTTGTCAAAGTTGAAAAATTGCAAGATAAACCCTTTTTTCCCCCTTGTTCCGGCGAGGTTACGATGTTTTTTTTTGTCGGTACGATTGCAACTAATGATCTGTCAACAACAAAGAATAAAAAAATTAGCAAGGGAAGCGAAGAGTTAGAGAGAGAAAGAAAGAGATGGGAGATGTGTCAGCTTTCACAAGAGAAAATTGAGTTGAATGAAAACAAATACAAAGTTTTTTTTTTTAGCATTGCAGAGAGCTCTATTAAGAGAAAAGTAGCATAGCTTTTGGTGAAGGGAACATGTCGGTGTTCAAGGTGGTTTTAGCCCCCCAAAATAAAACAAAACAAGAGTTTTTTTTTTTTTTTGAAACTCACCTTACATGCTTACACGTTTACGGCAGTGGATGCGAAATTCGAAACCCTAACTTAACTCTTCAATTAAGCCTCTCCCTCTCTCTCTCTCTCTCTTTCGACTCTATCTAAATCTTCTAGTCTTTAAAGCTCACTCACTTTTAGTCTTTCGCTTAGTCTCTTTAAAGCGCCTTAATCCCTCACTCACTCTCTCTCTTAAAGCCAACTTCAATTTAGCTCTTTCTTTTTTCTCTCTAGGCGAGTGTGTGCGAAACGTGGTTACGAGGCGGCTTGTGCAGCAGTGATTGGTGAGTTTGGGAGAGGAAATTAAAGTTTAACACCCGTGATGGCTACGTATTTGTGGGGGCGAAATGAGAAAACAGTGCAATGAAATTCTGTGTAAAAAGCTAGGAAAATGGAGGAGAGTGGGGTTTGGCGTGGCTTAATCTTTCTTCCCATCTTTCCTAGTTCAACTAGTTGGGCCATCTCTTTGGTTCAGTCTCAAGACAGCAATGACAACAACCGTGTGGTTGGTTTTCTGTCAGCAGTGTAACGCCACGCGGTGCTCTTAAAACCTCTGGTCCCACTCACCTTTGTCTGTTTGATCAACTGCCTAGAAAGCCAGAAAGGGTCATCATTTCTCTTTTACTTCTTTAATCTTTACCCACGTCATTATTCACAAAACGAATTATAAGTAGATATAATTCATCTTGTTTTAATTTGTATTCTTGCTTTCGTTAAAGATTGTAGTTAGAAATTATTGAATGGCATTTCCAGTTCTTGATAGTGTTCATGCAACTGCCAATTTTCAATTTATATCTAAAAAAAATCCCATTGTCAATCAAAGTAGTTGGCTACTAAAATATATACTTTAGACATATATACTGTCCCCATTGCATTCCCAATTTCTGTTCTCTCGAGTCTAATAACAAAAAAGGCGGTGAACGTTTGATCACTTTAAGAAGGGATCATTCATTGGTAGAGAAATCTTTTCACATATTTATCATCATTCAACAATAATAACATATATATAGTGTCACATAAACGTCACTCTGATGCAATTTTTACAATTAACTTTGAAAAGAAATGATTAATACTACTCCTTTTCTAGGATTCGTTTATTAAATCGATAAACTTCACTTACTGGTATTTGTCAGAAAACCAATGTTGCCCTTTTTTTTGGTTTGATCGGAGAGTTTTCTGATATTTTGAGATTGGAGAAGGGATATGATCTGTCTTTTGCGTTTTAGGGTTGGGAGGTTATCGGAGAAGACGAAGGAATATTCGAGGGGAAGAAAGGGGCATATCATGTAAATAAAAGGAGCAAAATGGGCACATTGTTGGAGGCAGAAAGGGAGAAGCCGATCGTATCTTCATCGTACGATGTATTATTAGGTGTTGTAAGAAGTTTGTTTACATCGAAGCCAGACAGCCCCATGTCTACACGCTATTCAAAACGAACTGAGACACGCGCTGCCGGTAGTATACCCCAAAAGTTTACGCATAAAATTCTTCATTTCACAATGGATGCTTTACGGAGGTAAATCCCACTTTATCGTAGGGAGCCTTGGGATTTTTCTCTTGTTGTAACGTGCAAGTTAACCTATATTTTCTTACTTACTGTTTTTCTTCTTTTATTACATGTAACATTAATTTTGTCGATACATCACTTTGATTATAATTTTTTTATATGTATATATATATATATTTTTACTTTAGACTAAATTATTGATGTGCAATTTTTCAAAATTATCAAATGAATTATGTACTTGTAGCATTTATTGTGTAATTTGTTCAATCTTGGTGAAAAATCTTAGAAAAAACTTTTAACAATGCCAAAAATTATAGTGGCTGATATAAAGTCTATTAGTTAGTATATTACCTATCACATATCTAATTATTTTTTTTTCTCTTATAATATTCCACATATCTAATTCTTTTTTTAGCTCTTATAATATTCCCATAAGTGATATGTTTCTCCATAGTTAGATACCAAATAATTATTGTCATGTATGATTAGAAGTCCTTGCAGGCTTGGAAAATCATAAAATTCTTACAAAATCTTGGAAAGGCAAGATTTTTTACCCTATATCTTATTTTAAAATCTATATAATAATAATAAATTTTTAATGTTTTTAGGAAACAAATTCTTAATTATATATCACTAATTGTTTAGTAATAAGAATAACTTTTGATTTTTGGCATCATTCTTATTACTGTAGTCCATATGTTTTATATTTTATGCTCTTAAATACAATGTATATCCTTGTTCACTTTTTGCCTACTTAGACTGTTATTATATACTTTAAAATCCCTTATATTGTCAATTTATATGGCTAGATGTTTGGAATGTAAGGCCAAAATAAACTCAAACTTAAAGGATGAGCCAACACTTCTCTAAAATTTTTTTAAAAAAATTTCTAACTTTGTTTTTTCAAATATTTGATAATTTTCGGTCTTTTTCAATTATTATTTTTTGCTTCTGCGACCAGAATGACTTTAAACATATATGCATATCAAAGTGATGCATTATCACAGACTTTCAGCTGAATTTTGAATGAGCTTAAGTTGCCAATCTATCTTCTGAGTTAGAAATGATGTAAATCAACATTTGCTTGTAATCATCGAATTGGGCATGAAATAATGTGTTAAGCAGACCTCATTCCCTTCTTTTTTATATATTTTACTTGCAGGATATTAACCTAAAGAATTTTCAATTCCATAAAAAATTCTTCAAACATGAAAAGAAAGAAGAAAGAGCCATGGAGATGGAATTATTTAAAAAGAAACAACAAAAAAATGCAGAGGGAAAGGGTGAGATAAATAGTAAAAAGAGAGGGGGAGGAGAGTACAGTGATCAGCTGGTGGCATTTGGTTAAAGGCTGACACAGACGTTGACACTTCTGTACGGAATGTCCACTACTTCAGTCAGACGGTTTTTTTTTTTTTTTTAAAAAAAACTTATTTTTTATTATAATAAAATAAGAATAAGAATTCCAATTGATATTTTCCAATTAAAAGGATTTTTCTTTTCCCTAAAATTAACTATACAACCCAGAAAAAGAGATTCAGAGAGCGAAAAGCTTTATACCATATGGATATGTTTCTTATACGTTCACCCTCAAACCTGACTTCACCAAAACTGCATTGAAGGAACTGCAAAGTAAAGATTTAGAGCTGGCTTCCTGCCACTGGATGGGTAAAAAACTCACATGCCTGCCGACTAAAGTTCATAACACATAGAAAAGAGCCACACCCACCATCAAGAAATTAAATATTCTATTGAAAAAGTAGAACAGGCCAAGAGCAGCTCTGTATCATGCAATGCCATATTCTTTGCCTTGTCAACATCTCTTCAACTAACAACCTATCCAATATAAGATACAAAACAACAATAATGCAACTACGTGAATAGGTACATCAAAAAGAAATAACATATCATGCTAGTCAAAGATTTCGCAACGTTAAGGCTTTGTTTGGTAAGAAAGATGAAAAATTTATTAATTTAATAATTAAATTACAAAGTAAGAAAGCAATTATGAAAGCTAATAATTGGATTAACAAATTTTCCATCATTCCTACTAAGCAAAGCTTAAGTGAATCAGAACAAAGTCAGACAATGAATCACTAGAAAAATGGTTTCTCTGTACCCCTTATTAATGTTACTATGCTAGCATTGCTTCTAGAGAGGAAGTCAGTTCAGTAAGGTAAATGATACTTACAAGACGCAGCGGCAGTCATTTATACCAAAAAGATTCATGTTGTAATTGATAAAAACAAATCTTCACAGCGCAGTCAACAAAATCAGTAACAGTCGCTAAATTTCATCCAAGCTCCTTAAAAATCACAAGACTGTTAGAGTGTTGAAGTTTCTCAGATACTTCTGCTCAAAAGATATTCCAACCAACTCCATTGTCATCCCCCTATAAAGAGCAGTGTTGACTCCAAGAAAGTACTTTGCATTTTTTTTTTTTTTTTGATTGCTTCATCAAATCAACCAGATCACACAATCTGAAAATAAGAACAATACCAATGCTTAATCAGTAACACTGATTATTAACTGCTATACCCTTTTCAACAGACAGAACAACAAACAATGATACTTGCATTGTGAGCATAAATCATCTAAAGAAAGACTAGTACACATTACACAGGATGATGTTTGAAGTGTCTGTAAAGTTTATGAATCACAACTAGTGGCCTTATTTTCGTTGGTGGTGGCTAGTAGGTGGAAGAAGGGGGAGGGGGCCAGAGGGCCACATTAGTACAAGATTATAGCATTACAAGGTATCCTCAACTGCCTAATCTGTTGTCACGAACTTCACAGCTCTAATAAAATCATATATCCATATGGTCCCTGAACCTGATATTAACCTTTCCTGACATTCAACTCAAGTAAGAACGGAGTTGAAGAAACGGAACCAAAAGCTATTTGCAGTCACACAATGCAAAAGGAGATGGCAACCTTACCAAGATTCAACAAAAATTATAGTTTATAAAACAATAATAAAGCACATGCAGAATTCAGTCTTCGTGATGATGATTGCACCTGTGAAGAAGTAGCATGTTTGTGTCCAATAAATCAATACAATGTGAAAAAAACAAGCCATGAGCCATTGATATGAATACCGTAGCCGCTTCCTATGCAGAATAAGTTACTGGAAACAATAAGAATAACAGAAGAAAACAAATTTCCTTTCTGCACGGTGAAAAAGCAAAATAAGATTAATATTTTGGGTGAAAATTACTAGCTTCTTCATCATATAAATCCATCTTTCATGATTACCACTGAGTCAGCTGTCCGTGAGCGGTTGTCATAAAAAGAATGAAGACTTATGTGAACGAACCTATGGCTAAAGCTACTGCACAGAATAGGAGAAATTAATGATTTTTTACTAAAAGGATAGACTGTTATCTAGTCAGGTTCAACTTTCCATGGTTTATCTTTTAACATTACTGGGGATCTAAGCACACCAGGGCTTCTGATATAAAAAAAGATCTCTTTCACATAGCTTTGTAATTTCTTAGCTTCATGATCCAGTTTTGCTTGATCTGAAAAACAGCAAGGACAAGAACCAATAATCCAAGCACAAGAATAGTGAATAAAACTATGGGAAATAAAATATTACAATGACAATTAACTAGAGCTCTACGACAATCATGCTCTAAGCCCCCAATTCTTAAAGCAGTGTTAGTAAAAACAACAGCAAATAGAATAAATTAGGTGACTAAAAAGTGGATATTCTGAGAACCAAAATCATTAAACTTCCACATTCTCAAAGCACATGCTCGAGGCCCCCTTCCCCCCCCCCCCCCCCCAAAAAAAAAAAAGGGTTACAAGCTCAATGTGCAAAGTACAGGACTAATGCTGAATAAATTCTACAAAACTTGTTGTCTTAGCACGTGGCAAAACCTACAGATTGACTCTAGCCATGTTATAATCAGCAGTTGTTTTTTTAAGACTTTTAGTAAGGAACAAGCTGACTGACAAAAAAGAGCCTCTCCTCTTTTGCTAACCCAAATTCTGGAAATTAAACAAAAGTTGGCAGGCATGCCCAACGGGAATATAATGCAAATATTACACCCATAAGGACCTAGCACTAGTGCTTGTTATTCCTGAATACTGACAAAAGGAGAAAAAAGAAAGAAAGGCCAGGAGAACGGCATCCTAATCATCTAAATGTCTACAAAAAGTTTGATAATTACAGAAATTGATGTCAGGGAATAAAATCCAATCTGTTCTCAACTACTCAACAAGGCTATATTCAGAATTTCTCAGTGAACCACCTGCTATATTACAACCAACAACAACACATTTCTCACTAGTATGATGTTCTGAACCAAAGAAAACATACGAGTGTTCAACATAAATTAACTTGCACACCAAACCTGTTTCCAAAATAGCATGAGCAGCATGAAATGGGATCTTAGCAAAAACATCAGTTCCTGGGAACATCATCCATGTCCACTCGTTTGGTTCATGGTTGCCACAAGTTTCACAAACCTCCTTTACCAAAGGCCTTGATCCAGGATTCCAAAATATTCTTCATCATTGACTCAAAAGGAGATGGGACATTAGTTTTTGTTGTCCGAGTCCTCTTCCTCAATGCAGTAAGTGCTTCCCTGTTTCCATTCCTCATTTTATCTTTCTCATCCAGCTGCATTTCCAATTAATATGACTTTAACACATTCTGTTATTTAACAAAGGAAGGAAAAATTAAACTTTTGTATCTTATACTACATCATAGTTTATTTTAACTTTTTTATAAAGGAATGGAAGAGGTTTTAAATCGTTGACCGAGATGAAGAATTGTATTGGCCTCAACTTGGTGAAATTCTATGTTCTAGGAACTGAGACTTTATAAGCTAAGGATTACCTGATGCCGAGCTAATAGTAAATGTTCAGCTTCAGTTTCAAGCTCAATCAAGCCTTCCTGGAATTGCTTCATATTCTCATCCATTTCCAAATCCACTAAAAAAAAAGGACCTTTCGCCTGAAATTGAACAACTTAACAATCATGCAAAACAGAAAAAGAAACTTCCTCATTTTGCTTCAACAAACAGTAATGAAATTAGTTTTTTTTTTTTTTTCCTTTCTCAATGAAGGAAAATTGCAAGAGACAATGAGAGGAAAAATCAATTTCTGACCTTTAGATTAAGGCAAAAGAAAGCCAGTCAGTTTAAGCAAGCATTAAGATTAAGATGCAAGATGAGAGGAAAATAAGGATGCCTGCTCAGATTAAATTGTATCCAATTTGGTATTAATTTAAAACATCCGGTAGATTTTATTAGAAAAATGGCAATAAAACATCAATCTATGAATATTAAATGATTAAAGTAAGAAAAAGCAAAATAACTTACTCTTATCCAATAAAAGTGGTTTATATGAATGAGCAGGGATGCCGGTGATAGAAGTTGTAGCAAACTCGATGGTGGTCTCAGCTTTGTCACAAATCCTTTTGCATTCATTCCAGGAAGTATATGAGTTTGTTTTATATGAAATAGTTTCTCAGAAGATTTTGATTTATACCAGAAAGTATATGGTCTCGGCTTTCATTCTCAGAAGATCTCTAGAACAGATTCATTTCAGGTCACATATAACAAACAATTGAGACCTATAAATGGAACATAAACAGCACATGAATCCTATCTCCAATGGTCTCTTCCATGTTTGAAGCAAAATTAGAAAAATAAAACCAGACCCATTATTTTTAATTGCACCATATGTCAACAAATTCATTCAATTACAAGTGCCAAGCATAAACTAAAGATAAAAACTTAATTCTGAAGTATAGACAAAACCAAAAGAGTATACTTTTGCCGAAGTATTGATGAACCAAAACAAAAGCAAACTTGAACAGAGCATAAAGAATAATAGGAAAGACAAACCATAGTTCCCATCGACCTCTGAAGAGCTGCAAAGCATACACCAAAGAAGCATACAGGTTTCGTATAACATACCCAATAATAATAACAATAAAGAAGCTATAAATACGAAGGGTACAATAACATATTCCAAAATATCAATCCCAGAAGAGGAAAACATACGTAGAAAAAGAAAAAGAGAATGAAAAAAGCGTTACAATGAAGATTGCAAATCAAATCTTTCATGTCCAGGAAAATATTTCTTCCGTAAAAACGAAATCCATATAAAATTAGAGCGAAATTGTAATCCAAGAAGAACAGGGGGAAAAGGAAAACAGAGAGTAAATCCTTAACAAAAATAGAAGAGAAAATAACATAGAGAGCTTACGGGAATTGGGTATATGAAACGTCACCGTTTGATTCGAGGAAAATTTGAGGAAAATGAAAATAGAATTCATGGATTTTATTTTCCAGTGTTTGATAAGGGTGAAAATGGAATCTTGGCTCCCAAGTCCATATCCTTTTTTTGTCGGCTACCGGAAGAACAAGAAAAAAGGATAAAGGGGAATAGGGCTTTTGACGTTTCTTCTATTTTTATTTCGACTGGGCTTGAAATTGAGTTGGGTTTGGGTAACGAGGATGCTGAAGTCTGGCCCAAATAAAAGAATTATTACATTTCGGGATTTTTTTTTTATATTTTTGACATAATTGAGCTTACTTATTTTTTTTAGCTCGGTTTTTTTATTATTTCTTTTGCTTTAAAATATTTATTATATATTTATTTCAAAAAAATTTAATTTTAATATATTTAATAAAAATTTAAAATTTTTTATAAAATAAAATTTTCATAATTTTTATTGTCAAAATAAAAAATTTTAAAATGTAATTTTAAAATATAAAAAATAAGAATTGCGGATATTCAAAAAGAAATAATAATTTTGAAACATTCAAAAAGAAATTAAATAAAAAAAAATGAGATAGAGAGAGTATCACTATCGGTACTCCTTGATTTCAATTTTATTTTTGTTCAAACTCATTAATTTCAATGTCAATTTTATCAAGTTTATATGGCTACATTTCTGAACGTATAATTTCATTGGTCAGATTCAATCATACAATCTCTATTATTATAAAACATTTAAAAAAGAAACGCATTTGACATGTGCCTTAAAATTCTATTGGGCCGTTAAGGAAAGTCCAAAGTCCAGAGTCCAAACTCCAAACCTTGTTTGGCAAATATCTATCCTTGTCCGGAGTGTGGTACTCAAGCCGCCAAACAAGCCGCTTGAAACGCCATTTTCTTTTGCGTTCGCTCCCCTTCTCTACAGTTGCTGAAGTGTGAGTGGGCAGAGGCTTGCAAAGCCGAAATGCAGAATGTTAGGAGTTTGTTAACAAGGCGTTGTCGTCACAAGCTAACCCAGTGCAAGAGAAGCCTATCCTCGCTTCCAATAAATTCATCTGCCGATGATCTTCAAAATCAAGTAAGTTCACTTCCTCTCTGAAAAATGTGAATTCAATCAATTTTGTCATCAGTGATCTATATATATATATATATTTATGTATAACGTTTTAGGTGCTGGTTCAAGGCAAAGCTAGTTCTCGAATAGCGATTCTCAACAGACCGTCTTCGCTCAATGCTCTCAATACAAATATTGTAAGCTCCATTTTGCATTTAAATCGGGTTTTGATAAATTCTGTTTGGTTCAAATGAAGATTATGCTATCTAGGGTTTACTTTTGATCTTTTGCTTGGATTGAAACAACAGTAATAGCAACTTCTTATTGCAGGGTGCTAGGTTACATGAATTGTACGCATCTTGGGAAGACGATCCCAATATAGGGTTCGTGGTCATGAAGGTAATTTCGGTTTTTAATAAGTTTTTTTTTCGTTTTTCGTATTAACTGTTATGATAATAATACAGTAAAATGTTAAGTGACAACTGACATTTGATTTTTGGATAATTTTAAGGGCAGTGGAAGGGCATTTTGTGCCGGTGGAGATATTGTTGCCCTTTATCATTTGATAAATGAAGGTAAAACCTAGATGAAAAATTTTATGATAAAAAAATTGTAATATAATAGTATTTCTTGTTAAACATGATTTCTTGGATGATTGATTTTTCATAATTAGCTGCGTTTTTAATTCTTTTATGCAGGGAAGATAGAAGAGTCTAAGGATTTTTTTAGGACGTTGTATAGTTTTATATACCATCTAGGTACATATTTGAAGCCGCATGTGAGTGTTCAGTTCATTTTCTGTTCCTTGAAATATTAATAATCATTACCTTCGTTGGTGATTGATTCTTTTCAAAATTTTATTCAAACTATATTTTCTTTTTATGGAGTTATGGTGATAGAGATATGTATATTGAATTCTTTGTGGTGACTCCTAAAGTAGTGATTGGTTTCTAGGTGGCTATTTTAAATGGAATTACGATGGGTGGTGGAGCTGGTGTTTCAATTCCTGGGACATTTCGGCTTGCAACTGGTAGAACTGTATGTTGTAGTGATTTACTTTTGGTTATTTTTTCTTCCCATTATTCTTTCATTGTTGCTTAATTCACTGCAGGCTATCTATTTGTTGCCATGTAATCATCTTGTTTGAAAGACTTTTTCTGAACTTAAATAGTCATTTTGCATATTTATCAGTTTTTCTGTTGGTAATAATCAACTTGCCATTGGAAAATCCAGTAACTTGCCACAAAATTTTCCAGGTTTTTGCTACCCCTGAAACTCAGATTGGTTTCCACCCTGATGCAGGAGCATCCTTTTACCTCTCTCATCTACCTGGTCACTTAGGTATGCTTTTACAGTACATTTTCTTATGCCTATTCCACTTGCTTTTCATTACTGATTCTTGGACCTGTAATGTAATTGTTTCATCATGGACTTATTGTGTTCTTGAGTTTGGGATATAACTCAAATGATCTTCTTTCCAATTTGTTATTTTGCTATTTTGATAAGTCTAAGATAAAATTGTTAGAATATTGCTCCAGCATGTATATCAAGCTTGATTTTATTTATCTGTTATATGCTAATATCTTAAAGGAATATATTTTTCGCAGGGGAGTACTTGGGTCTGACAGGAGAAAAACTCAGTGGAGCTGAAATGATTTCTTGCGGGCTTGCAACACACTACTCACACACCGAGGTTAGTACTGATGGGCTTTTACCTTGTTCTTTCCTGGTTTTGTAATAATGGTGTATTTTGTTCCACAGACGCTTCCACTGATTGAAGAAGAGCTTGGGAATTTGGTCACAGATGATCCTTCTGTCATTGAATCTTCTTTGGAGAAATATAGTGATGTAGCCTATCCTGAAAAGATCAGTGCACTGCACAGGTTTGTTTTCTCAAATATGAGACCATATTTCTATAGAAGTTTTAGTAAATTAAAAAAGCAAAGAATTACTCTTCCTTGTTCCTGGTTATAGCTGCTACCAATTCAGTGCTCTTAGTCTTCTTTATTTCTTCATTATAACCTATGCTTATTATTTTGAATATCTTCTTATTAGTCATACTACTTATGTAGGATTGAAGTGCTTGATAAATGTTTTAGGCATGACACCGTTGAGGAAATTATTGATGCTTTGGTAAGCACTTTCTTTTTTTCTGCTTATTTTTTTCAGACCATAAATATGGTTTGATTTTTTCACCCGGAAATCTTGAGGCTATCAGATGGTTATGATATTCCATTGTTGCATAAAATAGAAGGCTGCAGTTGTTTTAGGAAAAGTTTTTACAAAAATTGCCAAAGAAAGGCATCGTTTAATGTAAAATAGAATGGGTTATTCGTAGCTTACTCACAACGAATAATACATTTCTCCATAATTCCACCTCCCATTGAGTGGATGAAATGTGTGTTAAAATGGGCTCTGGATTAATAGTGGGTGTTGGTCTGTTTTACAAGTAAGAAGTTTTCAACTACTATAAAATTTGTGGGAGATAATTGTTTCCTACTGTAGGTTCCTTTTCAATAAACAGGAAGACTGATGTGTATAAGATTCATTTTGAACTTGCGCTGCAGTAAGATTTCTTGATCAGTTTAGTGGTGTGACAGTTTTAAATAACAATTTTGTTAGGAAAAGGAGGCATCTGCAACAAATGACCCATGGTGCAATTCCACATTAAAGAAACTTAAAGAAGCTTCACCATTGAGCTTAAAGGTTTCCTTGAGATCGGTGAGTCTTCTTAACAGCTAACCCCTTTTCTTAACTTTTAATGGAATGCATCCATTGTTGATGGTGCCATTATAGTGATTCAGATACGAGAAGGCAGATTTCAAACCCTTGACCAGTGCTTGGCTCGTGAGTATCGGATGTCCCTACAGGGGATATCTAAGCGAATCTCTAGGGACTTCTCTGAGGTACAATATCTTTTTGTTTTCGCACTTCCCCAGTAAATAAATAAAATTTCATGGACTTCATTAAAATTTTGTTTTTCATGCTAGGGTGTTAGAGCACGAGTGGTGGACAAGGACTTTGCACCAAAGGTGTCATTCTTTTTCCATTGCGAATTCCTTGTGATTTTCCTCTTCTGTACAATTCTATTCTGTTATCAAACCTAATTTTTTAACCCTTTGGGGATGTAGTGGGATCCTCCAAGCTTGGAGAAAGTGTCCAAGGATATGGTGGATCAGTACCTTGCACCCCTCAGTGAATCTGAGCCAGATCTAGAGCTCCCCACGAAACAGCGGGAAGCATTTAGCTAGTTGCGATGGATCGTCATGCCAAAAGTTTAAGGATGGATGATAACAGTAATATACATAGAATCTGAATGTATGGGTTCCATTCCTGAAAATATAAGGTCTTGTTTGTAGTATTGGGTGCAGCTTGGAAATAAATCATTGCACTATAACATTCCGTTGAATAAGATACATTTATCGAGTTTCATTTCCATCTTCAAGCCTTTCTTTTTTAGGATGAAGGGTATAAATCTGCTGAATATAGTGCATAAAATAAAAATAAAACGAATATATTATTATGTTTAAAACAATTATGTCAATGTTAGAACAAAAATTCCGTCCGTATATACTGCTTGGCCGTTCACGATGGTAAAGTATGTGAAATACTACACTATTACGTTGGCCAAAAAATAAATGACGTTTAAACTTATTGTGCTTCCAAAATTTCTATCTTTATATGATCAAACGTATAGCCTTGACAAATATAGCAAAAATGAATATCACAGCGAATTATATGATTTGCAAAGATCATAGCGACGGACTTGTGGATAGTTTATTCAGCCATCCCCCCTGATTATTCCGCTGCTTTACTGGCCTTGTGAGTGTTCACTAACTGCATTTGGACGTCCTGAGAAACTGGTGAATGCTCCTTGTATTCCATTGTAAATTCACCTTTTCCCTGTACAGAGAGTATAGTACATATAAAACAAATTTACATAATCCAAACGAGGATCAAGCAAATGGGGGAATCCCAAATGCCATGCCTATGAGTTGATTTTATGCCTCACCTGTGTCATTGAACGAAGAGCAGTTGAGTACCCAAACATATTGTTCAATGGGACCTGGAAAACGCAAAAATAATATTCAGCTGTACGGAAAAAAAAAAGGCATAATTTTTCCTGCTGCTATGATGGCACTAAGCTGTGTGGCAAACTACATGCAAGACATGGCGTAAGCATGAAATACACCATATGCACAAGTACAACATGACATGCCCACATCACAAAATAATTAAACATAATTTTATTTGAGCACTATGGCACTGATCCTCAAATGTCAGACAACCTAGAGATCTACACCTATCATGTACTTTACATGATTTACGCATCATGTTAATATTATGTCTATAGCACGTGGCAAACACTCCTTTGACATATTTGTGAAGGTATATCATTTCAATCAAGATGAAACTGAGTTTATGCAAGGGTAACAAGGTAATTAAAAAAAGTCTATGGACAAAATTATGAGCAACTTCAAAAATTTATCCATAATGATAATGGATAAATTTTCTTGGAAAAGCACCTAAGCCATTCCTTTCAAGAAAAGTAAGTTTCACTTACATTGGCAGTAATTATAGAATCATCTCCATCTTGATCGTTTCCAACAATAACACCTTTCCTCCTACACATAATTGACATGCAGAAATTCAGATGTAAAAGGTTGAAGATCAAGGTTTACCAAGTCCTAAAAACATTCAACTACAAAGAGAAGAATAGTGAACTCACTTGTTAATATCTCCAGCTACTGTACCCTGAAATTCTGTTGGTACTTTCAACTCAACCAACATAACAGGTTCGAGAATAACAGGCCTTGCATTATTATAACACTGTTTCACAAGTCAATATGAAAATCCAGCAATAGCATGCCAAAAAGAATAACAGGAAGGAAAACCAAAATATAAGTAGCAATCACTTCACAGGATAACATCCTAAGCACATTAGACATACCTGTCTGAAAGCATATATAGCAGCTAACTTAAATGCAAGCTCACTGGAATCTACTGCATGAGAAGCACCATCTGTTAATACAATCCGGATATTTTCAACTGGATGCCCAATTAATGAACCCCTGTACATAAGAACACAGAACCAATATGGCAAATCATACTCACAGCAAACCATGTACAAAAGTATTAATTCTTTATTGATGAGTGAGTTTCAAGAAACATGAGAGCAAAAGAAGTATACTCACGAATTTGCAGCTTCTTTGAAACCCTTCTCAATTGCAGGAATAAAATTTGATGGTATAGCTTGTCCAACAATCATGTTCTCAAATTCAAACTTAATTGGAGACCCTGGTGGAAGTGGTTCAACGTACCTACCAATAAAAGAAATCAACAGATCATATCAATGAACAAGGTAGGGAAGACTAGACAATCTTGCCAAGCAATAATTGAACAAAGAAAATCAAAACCAAATCCGATAATATCAATAACTAGCCCAGAACAGAATCAGAATCAAGGAACTGCATCTAGTTTAAATGCGAGATTGATATTATTACTAAGATGTCAATATAAAGATAAGCCAAAGACAGATAAATTGCTGCTTACCCACATACTCGTCCATATTGACCCTGTCCTCCAGATTGCTTCTTATGCAGATAATCAAATTCAGCACGTTGAGTTATAGTCTCCCTGAAATTCACACGAGGCTTTCCGACAGTTGCATCAACCTGTTTTGGGAAGTATTGAGTTATTTAAAAAGGAAATTTTCAATCATAATACTCTTAGAAATCCTTATTTTATATGCTCAACAAAGAACGAGTGAAAACCTTGTATTCTCTCCGGATCCGTTCCACATATATGTCCAAATGAAGTTCTCCCATTCCAGAGATAATTGTCTATGTAAATAAATAAACAAAATGACACTGTGGGTCAGTCAATGCAAAATAGCATTGTGTATGGTATACGAATCATTGAAAAAAAGATTTCTACATCACACCTGCCCACTTTCAGCATCCAAGCCCACACGGAACGTAGGATCCTCTCTCTGAAAACGATTCAATGCCTTTGAAAACTAATTTAAAGAAACACAAGATTCATCATTAGTTAACACCATATGCTGTGATTGAGTACATGCACACAAGCATTTATAAGGGACCAGAAAGCACTCACCTGTCCTCCAGAATCCTTTGAAACTGGCTGAACAGCTAATGACATCACTGGCTCAGGGACATTCATAGAAGTCATGGTGTATTTGACAGACCCATTAGTAAATGTATCACCTGGAAACACAAAGCCATGCATTATGAAAAAATTGTAAAAGCCCTTATGGCTTTTTTTGTTTAAGGGAAAACAAGAGCTTTGTCTACTCAACCAATGATCATTGTGGCGATTTTATTGCTTGCATAGTCAAACTCCTTGAATAATTAACAAAAAAAAACACAAAAGCTTGCACTTGCGAGCACAAATATGCAAAGCGAGTAGGACCTGAAGCACAGTCTACACCAAAAACTGCAACTATTTGCCCAGCATGTGCCTCTTGAATGTCCTGCGTATTATAAACCCCAAAGAGAACAATATTAAATTAACCAACTGCCTCAAGATCCAAGAATTTACATAACTATTAAGATTGATGTCAAGTAAAGTCTAACCTCCATTTCATCAGAATGCATCCGAACCAAGCGAGGCACCTGGGACAAAGATCAGGTTAGTACAGAAAGGAAAGGAGACAAACAAAAGAAAAAAAGAGTGCTTCCATGTAATGGAAGTGGATACATCAATCACAAGACAAAGAACGACACATGTTCTGACCCAATAGAACCATATAATTTATGAATAGTCACCTTGCATGTCAGGGTGAAATTAACATGCATATGTGGCAAGTAGATGATCATACATCACAGGTAACTGCTTTTCACAATTTCATCTAATACTATTTTCTACCACAAATCACAAAAAACTAATAAATAATATGTTAGTTTGATATATGTGGTATTTCTGGTGGTCCATGTTATTCTTTGTAGATCAAGACCAAATCATACTTACAAAAAAGAAACAACAAATAAAATCTCCAGTACAACACATGGGATGTGTAGGTTCACACAGTTGAAATCGAATCCTGCTGTGTTGCCCAACAAGATCACACAACAGGAAAGTTAAAAAAAAAGGCATGAAAATATTGGCCCAAGAGAACATGAAACAACAAATTAACTTACCTTAATCTTCTTTCCTGTGTTTATGTTCACCATAAAATCGCCCTTCCGAATCACACCCTCATAGACTCTTCATCAATATAAATTACTGTTAGCATAACAGAAACACTAAATACTAATACAATGCAGAACATCAATGGAAGATGATGCAGTGGCATTACCTTAGATAGGTTAGCTGACCAAACCGCCCTTCCTCCAACTTAAAAGCTAATGCCACTAGTGGTCCATCTGGGGTTCCAGGCAACATAACCTACAAGAGAATTACAAAAAGGATTACATAAAAAATAAAAAGCAAAAGTTTCTGACCAGTTTTAACAAAGCTTTTTTTGGGAGGACTTGTAGTATCAATCTTATACCTTCTCTTCATTCTTTGTTTGATCAAGAGCACAGTTACTGACTTCAATTGGACATGGCAAGTAACTAAGGACGCCATCCAAAAGTGTTTGTACACCCTGTGTAGAAGAGAAAGTATCTGATAAATAGCGTCTAATAATCCGACAAATAAGTTAAACAAACTACATAATGTTGTTTCCTTCCAAACAATATGATAATGGGAATTCCAGGAGTGCCTTATTGTCACAAGTTGGTTGATTGTGAATTTATCAGAAACCAAAGAACAGAATCTATCATAAAGTACCTTGTTTTTGAATGCACTACCCATGAACACAGGAACAAACTTCCGCGCTATGGTTGCCCTACGAACTGCTTCCTACTTAGATCAAGATCCTAATTTTAGGACTCATATCAAGTTCATAATGAAAAGTAAAAAGAAAACAGCAGCATTTAGAATTGTAAGGTTAGCAAAGATAGAAAGATAAATGATCTGCGGCTTACACTTGTGTAATAATTAAGCTAATTTGACATTTAATATTTGAGGTAAGAAAAAGCCTTCATCACCCACCCATACGGCACACATACAGAATTATGAAAAACCATTCAACATGCTGGGTCATTCTAAATTCAGTGAGAGGCCATCACATCCACATTTAATTTTCAGAAACAAATATCAACTGCAAAAATTTGATGGCATAAAGTAACAATAAAGCCAACCATACTGTTTTTCTCAGCCATTTTTTAAATTCACAACTGACACTAGATTGCCAGTATCAAGTACACTTTATGTCATTAGAAAATAAAGAAGTAAATAAAGCAATATCCCCCAAACAGACCTCAAGATCAGCAGATGAAATAGGCTCATCATTTAGAAATACTTCAGCAAGTTTATCATCCACTTCAGAAACTGTTTCTATCAGTTCACGTCTCCTTTCTGCGACTATGGCCTCCATATCTGCTGGTATTTCTTCAGCTACAACTTTTTCTCTGCAATAGTTAGAATATGATAAAAAAAAAAAGGATAAAGAAATGAAACGGGCTCTACACTTAAAGAAAAATTAAGCAAACCAGAGAGATTGAAACAAACCCGCTGGAACCATGAAAATAATAAGCTTTTAGTCGTACAAGGTCGATAAGACCCTGAAAATTTTCTTCCAAGCCAATTGGAACTTGCACAGCTGCACTATGATGTCGAAGCTTAGACCTTGCCTGAAAACAGAGACAAAAAATGATCAGCATGACATCGTTAAATTTCGAAGTCCAATAACGCCTATTCGGTTACATGAATATATCCAACTGTACCTGGTTGAGAACTTTCCATGGATCAGCACCCATTCGATCAAGCTTGTTAATAAACGCGAGTCTTGGAACCTCGTATCTTCTCATTTGTCGATCAACAGTAATTGACTGACTTTGTACACCACCAACACTACACAGAACTAAAATGGCGCCGTCAAGAACACGAAGCGCCCTCTCCACTTCAATCGTAAAATCAACGTGACCAGGCGTATCGATTATATTAATCTACAACAACACATAAAAATTATGCAAAACGTTGAAAATTATTAAAATAAACTGTCAAATTAAAATTTCTTAATGAACCTGGTAATCTTTCCAGGTGCAATACGTGGCAGCAGATTGGATAGTAATTCCTTTCTCTCTTTCTAAATCCATGGAATCCATCTTTGCTCCGACGCCGTCTTTACCACGAACTTCGTGGATCTCGTGGATCCGGCCCGTATAATAGAGAATACGCTCGGTTAGCGTGGTCTTGCCCGAATCGATGTGAGCGGAGATTCCGATGTTTCGGAGTCTCTCCATGGACTCTTTCCACCATGGTTCTTTGTCGTCCTTTGCTCGCGCGACGTTGCCCGCTGAGAAATGACGGACCTCGAAGTTCCCGAGGAAAGCGGCTGCCGGGGAGCGGGAATTAGGCGGCGTCGTTTTAGTGGAGTAGAAGGTGTAAAGGAGGCGCGGGACAGTGAATCTTCGGAATCGCTCCATGGTGGAATAATGGTACGGTGCTTGGTGCGGGAAAAACCCTAAACCCAAGACAAGGGGTTTTCAATTTTCTCGGGGTTTTTTTGATATGGAAAACAAAAGAGGAGATTTGGATTTGAAAATGGGTCGGGTTAGGAATTAGGATGGGAAAGACATCGGATTCATTTTCTCTAACGGGTCAGGGAATTTGGATCTTGCCTCCGGACCTATTTGACCATTCGCTTGCACTGTGCTCATGAACCGTAATCCAAATATGTATTGTTACTAATAAGGTCATAGACGAATAAAATTATGGACTGAGTAACGTGTTATGCGTAATATTTCCGTCGCAAAATTTACCGATTCATCCAAGAAACTAAGAATATTCCTATTTTATTATAATATAATAATAGATGAATAAGCGCAATAATAAATAGATAAATTAGTTGCTATTAGTTTTTTTGTTCAAATCAATGTGACCAATCAATAAATTCAGTTGCTTGGCTTCGATTGTCCTTGGAAAAAAAGAAGAAAGAAGTGAAGTTTTGATAATTGGTCGAAAAATCCTATACGGGCTGTATTTCCAACTTTATGTTTTCACCAGTTCCAGAAGATGATGCAGATGGAGATGATGATGATGCTGCTGCAGACTCCTGCTTACGATCATCAGAGTTCATCTCTTGCACTGGAGGAGGCTTAACAATGGTCATTTGCGTTTCGCTGTTATCAGATAGATGATTCCTCATCTCTCTGTGCTCTTGACACAAGGCACACCAATGCAAACAGCAGTGAACCATGCAGGGATCACATGGTGAGTTCTGCAAAACAACAGCACGAGCTTAGCAGTAGGAGTCATGTTTCCATGAAAACCTGGACATCTTTGTTATAGGATGGGATGACATTGGAATCAAGAATGGACATACCTTGAGATGATATTTCTTCTGTAGTGATTGTCGAAACAAGCCATTATAGATGCCACACAACCACCAAGCAAAAACCAGGGTCTCACAAATGAGAAACGATGTTTTAGGGTCAATTCCATGGAAGAGTAGAGTTGCTCCTGCAACCACCATTCCGCCCTCTACACATAAAGCATGGCAAAAGCATGCATCGCTCCTTGTAATATCGTCTCTCAAGGTTTCAACATTTTGCCCAAACAACAAACATGGACAAAAGAGACCAGTCCGGCCTGCAAAATTTTGCAATGATCCAAGACTGATCAACAATTACAGCATTGAGAAATGCGCCTGAACAGAGAAGAAATTATCTGTAGCCTGTGGATAAATGATGCTGCTTGTTCTGCATAGACAGTTAGTATGAGGAAAATAGTGACTATAAAGATGGATTAATTGGACTCTTACAGCTCTCAGTATCCTCAAGACAGCCGCAAATTCCAGTTGTCCAGTCTTCATCAGCAGGTGGCTCATAGCATTCAGGTAGAGGTTGCCCACATTCAGGGCATCTATGAACTATTAACTATGACATGGTAGCCACAACATAATCAGAAGCAAATATAAATTAAGACAATTGTCTCTTTTGACCAATAAAACAAGAGAAATTCAAACTATCAAAGGCAAGAAAATAATCAAGCTTTGGCTTCCGATTATGCACTGACAGTTGGGAAATAAAGCAGCTCTTTTCATTCTGAAAGAAAATTGAAATTTTTAGCAACAGGTTATTCAAAGTTCAAACAGAGATTTGATAGAGATTACTGCTTTTCACTTATGGTTTATCTCATGAACCATGTCGTACCCCTTCAAACAGCAAAAGAAAAAGAATTTGATTTGTTCAAAGCATTATTAGAACTACAACAACAACAAACTAAGTCTTATACCCGTAAATGTAATTATATTGCAATGGAAACAGATAATAAAGGGTAGCAGATTGAGAAGCTAAGAAAACAAGCCTGTCAGGCTGATCAGGGAAGGAGAAATGATCATAACAATGGAAATATTAACCTCAGGAACTTGAATGGGTTGATTGAGTTCTCCAGGGGTGATATCTTCAAGAGGATCTTTTTCCTTTGTAAGCCGTACGTAACGTGAAGGCGCGTTGCTGTCATCCATCTGTAATCAAAAGAAAACAAAACAAGACACCGAATCATCAGCCACTTTCTGCATGTGTTTCACCAATGTAAGAGATGTCAAAGAGAGATGGAGAAAGGTTATGGTTGTGAAACCATTTTTTTTATATGTTTGGTTGGATATGAGATAAAATGCTCCCGACAGAAACCAGAACAGGAGGTGAAGAAAGCAAAAACAAAATAAGTAAAACAGGAAAAAGCCTGCTCCGAATCTGGAGATGTTTTCTTCTTGACACGAATCAGTCAATCTTCCTTTTTTATAGTTTCTTTTTTTCCAGTAACTTTCCATTGCCTTTCCTACGGAAAAGGACAACGCCAACTTTATTTTATGGGATGTTAATGTCAAGAAATTTGTTTGTATAGTATAAAAGAAATGAAAACATTATTTAATAAAAAAATGTGGGAAACATGAAATGATCCAAGAGCCTTTGTTTTGTTTTTAAAGAAAAAGGAAGGCTATTTTTTAATATATAAAAAAAGAACACTATGACTTAATATAAATTGTAACTGTCACAGTCATACCAGTAATTCCCCCCCCCCCTTTTTTTTTTCTTTTTACAAAATCCCAGTAATTTTATCCCCAAAAATAGTATCTCAACCAAAGGCTATCATGCAGAAGTATCATTGGCCCAGAAAAAAGAATGGCTAATATCTTGAACTTACTACTGGTGTGTCCTTAAACCTTTACTCTGCTACAACAGAAACTGCGAAAAGCAAAGCTTTTGATTACTGAATACTAACTAAAAGGTGCAGAACCACGGGAGGAGGAGCCATGATCATTGACATTCCAAAGATTCAATTCAATTCTTCCTCTTCTACTGTCCCTTCTGTTTCTTTTTCTTCAAATAATCTTATCTTTCCTGTCCCATCCAATTATGCTACTCCACTTAGACCTCATCTCCTGGAATTTAAATTCAAGAATACAAAAAAAAAAAGTATTTAAATTTTCAACGAAAATAGAAAAGAAAAAGAATAAAAAGAAAAAAAAAGACCTACCAAGAAGGACGTTGACGCCGAGAACATACCTCCGAATAAGCCAAGACACTCCCTCGACTTGGTGAGGTTTCAGCTTGGCGGTGACTCCAAATTCTGCACAACCCACCGCCTTGTCTCCGGCACATGCATTGTACGCAAGAGCGATTTGGGCAGCGGATTCAAGCCTCTGTTCGTAATTCATCTAGATCTTCGTATCAGTTTGCTTGTGATGAGCTTTTGGGTTGGGGTATTGGCGGTGGATTTTGAAAAGGGAAAGCGTGGGCGGCAAGCTAGAAATTTTCAACGGCTAAAACACAGATAAATAGTCAGACTAAATGCTTGCCTTGACAATGAAGAAGTTGATGCATAAATGCATGTATGTAATAGTTTAATTTGTAACACATGTACTAATTCTTTATATTGTTATAATATATAATCACAACATAACTGCATTTTTATTTGTTTTACTTTTCAATTTAAAAATTTGTTTTCCATATAAATACAAAAAAAAAATGAAATGAGTAAAAAATAAAAAAAAAGAATTAAAATTCCTCCACGTGCTAATACGGAACCCAAAAAAACATTGGGCTTTTTATAAACAATGTTCTGTGTTTTTCCTGTGTCTCTCTGAGTAATTGGGTTAGTTTTGGGCCTGGCCTTATAGTGTTTAAAAAACGATTACACCCGAAAGGCCAATACCTAATGAATCAGAGTGCAGCCACGTATGGATCAGCACCGACATAGTCCATTAGTTTTAAAGACCCTCGCATACCCATAAGTCAAGTTCATAAACGAGCTTTGTTTGGGTCATTACTCTTGACAATTTATTTGCTTTTTAGCCGTTGAAATATTTTAGCTTGCCTCCCACGCTTTCTCTTTTCAAAATCCACCGCCAATCCTCCTACCCAAAAACCCATCACAAACATAGGCTTATTCGGAGGTATGTTCTCTGCATCAAAGTCCTTCTTGGTAGTTTTTTTTTTTTTTGTAGTTCTTGAATTTAAATCCCAGAAGTTGAGGTATGTTTCCTGTCAAAATTGATTGGATCACCACAGATCTCTCTTTTCCTTTTCTTCGTCATTATCTGTTAATTTCTAGATGATTGTTTCTTAATGCGTACTTTTTGTATTCTTTTGTTGAATTTGGAATTCTGGGGTTTTTTTTTTTTCTGTTCCTGACTTCCTGTCCTCGGTTTGTTATATATATTTCTTGGGGTGTGGAACCAGATGGGAAAAACAATGATAAGGCTAACGCTATGCGATCAAAACACTCTGTCACGGAGCAGAGGAGGACGAGAAAGAGTAATGAAAGGTATCTTCTTTTCTTTTCTTCAAGTTTCAATGTCCATCTCTTATTATTTCATTTAACTTTGGAAAGTGGAGGTTTTTAGTATAACCCTTTAAGTAATTCTATATTTATCTGGTTAATCTTCCGGTAATTGCATAAACCATTCATTGTAATGGCTTGGGATGGGTTGAGTCTAAGAAAGTTTTGAATTTTATTAACTTAGGTTTACTTTGTTGTGGAAATATTGATGATTGAAAAGGATGTGGACTGTCAAACTAACTGACAGTTTTATGAATAGATGGTGTTCTACTGAACATCTGTTGAAGAGTTCTCTTTTTGTGCAAAGCTATTCAATTGAGTTGGGAACTGTAGGTACAGATGAATTGGTTTAAAAGAATGGTTAATTTTAGTTTATAATATGTTTAACTTGAATTGGCACAAGAAATTAAGATGTTACTAGTTATGTGATGGGATATAATAGGGCCGGCAAAATGTTTGCTTGTTTCTTTGCTAGCACTGACTTAAGTGCTTGTTGTGCGTAAATTTCCATAATTTGAAAATTATCGACAGATGGGACTAGGGAAGACTCTTCAAGCTATTTCTTTCTTAAGCTATTTGACAGTCCATCAGAAGTCACCAGGACCATTTTGTGAGTTAAATCTTTTGGTTTGATCTTGAGAATTTTGGGGTGGGTGGGGGTTTTTATTACAATTTGTATTTTGATTTTTCATTGTTGTCGAGTCATTTTGCAGTAGTGCTTTGTCCTTTATGTGTGACAGATGCTTGGGTGTCAGAGATAGTTAAATTCACTCCTAAATTAGAAGTTCTTAGGTATATTGGTGAGAAAGAGCACCAACGAAATCTACACAAGACTGTATATGAGCATGTAGAAGAGAAGTCGTCATTATCAGATGTGAGCTTATTGCTATTTGATCTAAAAGATTAGATTAACTGTTATGTTGGAAATCTGGCCAAGTTGTTTTTTTTATCTGTTCTGAGTATATTGAAACATGAGTTTTCTCTTTTCCCACATGTTTGAGGAATTTTTCCCTTTATTTGCAGGTTTTATCCTTACCCTTTGATGTGCTCTTGACAACATATGAAATAGCATTAATGGATCAAGATTTTCTTTCTCAAATACCCTGGCATTATGCTATAATTGATGAAGCTCAAAGGCTTAAAAATCCTTCCAGTGTGTGGTTAAGATGGCAAGATATATCTTTCATGTTCTTTTACTAATCACTTCATTTATGATATTGTGGTTTATGTATTAATTTCTAAGTTTGATCGAGGTGGTGAAATTAGACATTCTGATTTGTAGACCTTGACAGGATCTGTATAATGTTCTTAGTGATTGCTTTCTTATGCCAAGATGGTTGTTGATGACAGGTGCACCTATTCAGAGCAATCTCACTGAACTCTGGGCTTTGATGCATTTTTGTATGCCCTCAGTGTTTGGGACACTAAACCAGTTTCTTTCTATATAAACCAGTTCCTTTCTATATTCAAAGAAGATGGAGACTTTTCATCAGGTTATGATTGTTTTTTACTATATATATCATATAAGTTTGGACTTCATCTGAATCTATGTTTTATCCTTTGAGAGCATAGCATATATCTTGGAATCTAGCATTTGATTGGTCTTGCTTCCCTCAGTTTGAAGCTCTGGCTTTTTTATGGATTAATATTTATTCATTTATTCTGTATCGGCTTCTTTCTTGGAATCAAGCATTTACAACTTTTGAGGAGCCGGCAATTATCCTATGGCTGCCTACCTATGTTGGCTTCTAAATGGACATAGTGACTTTATAGGGGGCTTTGTGGCATATATCTTACACCTTTTCTGGGTTTCCTTTGAACAGATGGCACACTATCTAAGACTTTAAAATATATATTGCAATCCTTTATGCTTCGACGGACAAAATCCAAACTTATTGAATGTGGAAATCTAATACTCCCGCCTCTTACTGAGATTACTGTGTAAGTTCTCTCTGCTGACTTTTCGAGAAACTTACCTGTTTTAAGTCACTGATGTTAATATGCCTTTTCTTGATAGGATGGCTCCATTTGGTTAGCCTGCAAAAGAAGGTATATACTTCAATATTAAGAAAGGAGCTTCCAAAACTTCTTGCTTTGTGTTGTGGATCATCTAACCACCAGTCATTACAAAATATTGTATGTTAGATTCCTAACTTTTTAACTTTGATATTTACTTCTAAGCTTTTACGTTTATCTTGTGATACGAATTATTAGTTAATCCTGAGGCTTTCATTCCTGCATTTCTTAAACATTATATAATCACCTCATTTTCTTATGCTGGAAGATTATATTGGAGTGGTCAATCTTCTGTTCTTCCATTATATTACTGTTACGGATACCCCAATACAAAGAGGAAGAAAGCAATCTTCTAATTATGTATGATTATGCTCATCGTGCATTTCTTTATTTTTTCTCTTTGGTAGGTAAAACAACCACTTGGAAGACTAGGTACACGGTCACGTCTAAGTAGCTTTTAGATAAATACCCAGAATTGGCAACTGAGGGTTAGTTATTTTTAATACAACACTTAAACATGTAATAATTCTTTATACTGTTATAATAAATAATCACAACATAAATGCATTTGTATTTGTTGTATTTTTTCGATTTAAAAATGTCTCGATAAAATACAAAAAAAAAAAAAAAAGAAATGTGTAAAGAATTTAAATTCCTCCACTTCCTAAGACAGAACCACCACCACCCCTCCCCTTCCCCCCCCCCCCCAAAAAAAAAAAAAAAAAGAAGCAAATTCTCGTTTGTATTTTGTGTCCACATTGGTCAATCGTATTGGGCTTTTTATACATGATGTTCTGCGTTTTTGCTTTGTCTCTCTGAGTAATTGGATTATTTTTGGGCCGGGCCTTTAAAAGACGCTTTCACCCAAGAGGCTAAGACCCAATAATCAGATTGCAGCCACGTGTGGATTAGCACCGACATAGTCCATTAGTTTTAAAGACCCTCGTATGCCCATGCGACAGGCACTTCAGAATTCTTAAACGAGATTTGTTTGGGTCATTACTCTGACTATTTATTATCAGCTTTTTAGCCGTTGAAGTATTTTAGCTTGCCTCCCACGCTTTCCCGTTTCAAAATCCACCGCCAATCCTCCTACCCGAAAACCCAGTGCAACCAAACTGATAGGAAGATCTAGATGAATTACGAACAGAGGCTTAAGTCGGCAGCCCAAATCGTTCTTGGGTACGATGCACGAGCCGGAGACAAGGCGGTAGATTGTGCAGAATTTGGAGTCACCGCCACGCTCAAACCTCACCAAGTCGAGGGAGTGTCTTGGCTTATTCGGAGGTATGTTCTCGGCGTCAACGTCCTTCTTGGTAGGTCATTTTTCTTTTTATTCTTTTTCTTTTCTATTTTCGTTTGAAAATTTTAAATACTAATTTTTTTTTTGTATTTCTTGAATTTAAATTCCAGGAGATGAGGTATGTTTCTTGTCAAAATTGAATTGAAATTTGTAGATTTAATGGTAATTTTCCCGCTAAACAGTTTTGTAAAATAATTTCCGTAATTTGAAAATTATCGACAGATGGGACTGGGGAAGACTCTTCAAGCTATTTCTTTCTTGAGCTATTTGAAGGTCCATCAGAAGTCACCTGGACCTTTTTGTGAGTTAAACCTTTTTGTTTGATCTTGAGAGTTTTGGGGGTGGGTGGGGCGTTTGTGTAACAATTTGTATCTTGATTTTTCATTGTTGTTGAATCGTTTTGCAGTGGTGCTTTGTCCTTTAAGTGTGACAGATGGTTGGGTGTCAGAGATAGTTAAATTCACTCCTAAATTAGAAGTTCTTAGGTATGTTGGTGAGAAAGAGCAGCGGCGAAGTCTACGCAAGACTGTATATGAGAATGTAGAAGAGAAGTCGTCATTGTCAGATGTGAGCATATTGCTATTTGGTTTACAAGATTGGATTTACTATTATGTTGGATACCTGGCCAAGTTGTTGTTTTATTTATCTGGTTCTGAGTGTATTGAAACATGAGCTTTCTTTTTACCCACATGTTTGAGGAGTTTTCCCTTTTATTTGCAGGTTTTGTCCTTACCTTTTGATGTGCTATTGACAACATATGACATAGCATTGATGGATCAAGATTTTCTTTCTCAAATACCCTGGCATTATGCTATAATTGATGAAGCTCAAAGGCTTAAAAATCCTTCCAGTGTATGGTTAAGATAGCAAGATATATCTTTCATGTTCTTCTACTAATCACTTCATTTATGATATTGTGGTTTATGTATTAATTTCTAAGTTTGATCTAGGTGGTTAAATAAGACATTCTGATTTGTAGACCTTGACAGGTTCTGTATAATGTCCTTAGTGATCGCTTTCTTATGCCAAGACGGTTGTTGATGACTGGAACACCTATTCAGAACAATCTCACTGAACTCTGGGCTTTGATGCATTTTTGTATGCCCTCAGTGTTTGGGACACTATACCAGTTTCTTTCTATATTCAAAGAAGCTGGAGATTTTTCATCAGGTTATATTTGTTGTTTGCTATATATGTTATATAAGTTTGGACTTCATCTGAATCTATGTTTTATCCTTTGATAGCATAGCATATATCTAGGACAGGTTATCTTTGTTCTTTACTATGTATGTTATATAAGTTATGACTTCATCTGAATCTATGTTTTATCCTTTAGAGCATAGCATGTATCTTGGAATCTAGCATTTGATTGTTCTTGCTTCCCTTAGTTTGAAGCTCTGGCTTTTTCATGGATTAATATTTATTCCTGTATTCTGTATCTGCTTCTTTTTTGGAATCAAGCATTTACAACTTTTGAAGAACTGCAAATTACATAATTCCTATGGCTGCTTACTTACTTTATGTAGGCTTCTAAATGGACATAGTGACTTTATAGGGGGCTTTATGGCATATATCTAACACCTTTTCTATTTGAACAGATAGTACACTATCTAAGACCAAGGAGCAATTTAAGACATTAAAGTATATATTGCAAGCCTTTATGCTTCGACGGACAAAATCCAAACTTATCGAGTGCGGAGATCTAGTACTCCCACCTCTTACTGAGATTACTGTGTAAGTTCTCCCCGCTGACTTTGGGAATCTTACCCGTTTTAAGTCACCAATGTTAATGTGCTTTTTCTTGATAGGATGGCTCCATTGGTTAGCCTGCAAAAGAAGGTATATACTTCAATATTAAGAAAGGAGCTTCCAAAGCTTCTTGCTTTGTCTTCTGGATCATCAAACCACCAGTCATTACAAAATATTGTATGTTAAATTCCTAACTTTTCAGCTTTGATATTTACTTCTGGTTATGTTGTGATACGAATTATTAGTTAATCCTGAGGCTGCCATTCCTGCATTTCTTAAACATTATACCGTCACCTCATTTTCACATGCTGGAAGATTATATTGGAGCTGTCAATCTGCTATGCTTCCTTTGGGGTTATTGAGGTCTTATGAGGGACCAATGTTATTCCACTACTGGCAAAATCTGCCAACTGAGGTCTTGAAGAGTGGTAGCTATTAGATCCAACAAACTGTATTACATGATGATTTGAGGTTAATGTACTGCAGGATCTACTCTGATTGTTAATTCTTCTAAACAGTGGTTTTTTTCTCATGTAAACCAGTTTTGCTCTGATTGCTAACCATTCTAAATAGTGCTTTTTCTCATGTAACGCCAATTCTACTCTGATTGTTAACCCTTGTAAATGGGCTTTTTCTCATTTAACAGCTGTTATGTATAAGGCTGCTTCTGCTCCTTGAGATGCTGCACAAATTATAGTTCTAAGTTCACTTTTTTGCATAAAAATAGAACACTTTAGGGCATCAATTTCTCAAGGCATTCCTTGGTTTCTTACAGTGCTCCTATGCTTTTATTCTTTTAAAAGTAGTTGATTAATTTGACTCTTAGATGTCTTACTTATTGTTGCTCATCAAAAGTTATTCTGCAATCTGCATGCTTTCAGTTACTTTTTTTTCTTTAATCTGCTTTTGTTTTAAAAATGTTGTTTAAACACTTATTGTGCAGGTAATTCAGCTAAGAAAAGCTTGTAGTCACCCTTATCTCTTCCCTGGCATTGAGCCCGAGCCATATGAAGAGGGAGAACACCTGGTTCAGGTATTGTGTTGTTGCATATAGCTTTGCTACAATAAAGGGCGTTTAATTATGAATTCTAATCAAGTTTATTGGTGTGTTAAGACTATAAAACTTGTAGAAGAACAAAAAATGTAAAACAGAATGATTGAAAAAGTTTTCATCTTTTGCCTTCACCTCCCTCCCATCACTATGGGTTTTAAAATGCACCCATTACTCTCTTAAAATTTCCGGATCAGGGGAGTGGTAAGCTTATGGTTTTGGATCAACTACTCCAGAAGCTATATGATTCTGGGCATTGTGTCCTTCTCTTTGCTCAGATGACCCATACGCTTGACATTTTACAGGTTAGTCATCCCTAACACGAAGCATTTCTGTTTGGTTGTTAATGTTTGTGTGTGTGTCCAGTTATAATAGTATATCTAAAATGCAATGTAGGATTTTCTGGAGTTAAGGAAATATTCATATGAGCGGCTCGACGGATCGATTCGGGCAGAAGAGCGCTTTGCTGCAATAAGAAGTTTCAGCAAACGATCAGCCGAAGGGAGTTTGAATTCAGAATCTGACCAAAATGCTGCTTTTATTTTCATGATCTCTACAAGAGCTGGGGGTGTTGGCTTAAATCTTGTAGCTGCTGATACTGTAAGTTTTCTCAATACATGGATGACTACTTTCTCAACTTTTTGTGGTATGGAATTGTTACTAAATATTGAGCAAGGGTACTTTTGTCCTCGCATTTCAGAATCTAGATTTTTGCTTTGCAAAGCACTCTAGGTAGGTGCAACCATAATGAGAGATTTGATTCTATGGCCTGGTAAGGAACTATGAATATGAGCAACTGGATCTAACATCCTCTTAAAATTGTTCTAGAAAAGCACAATCTAAATGTATTAGTTATTTTCTTAATACTATATTCATACATTCTTGACTTGGCTAATTTCAATTGATAGCGCAGGTTATATTCTACGAGCAAGATTGGAATCCTCAGGTAGACAAGCAGGCTCTGCAGCGAGCACATCGAATAGGCCAATCGAATCATGTGTTGTCCATAAACCTTGTTACAGAACATAGTGTGGAACAGGTGAAATCTTATATATATAATAATTAAAATTGAAGGCTATTATACTTACTCCTGTCACTTTGCTGCATTAATGCAGGTCATTATGAGAAGAGCAGAAAGGAAGCTGCAGCTTAGTCATAATGTTGTAGGAGATCCTGTCATGGACCAGGAGGAGAGGACATGGGAGGAACTGAAATGGGTGATTTGCGATCTATCATATTTGGGTTACATATGTTTGATCCTACTGAGATCAACATGGAAGAAGCACATGAGTTAAAGACATCAGTGTTTAGATCTATGGCTGAGAAAGTGATTGCAATCCGTCATGAACAAACATTAGGCAAGAATGATAGCAAGTTTGAGATTAATGCAGGGGATTTGATGGATGGCTATGGTGTTATTATGAGAGAGAGTTCTTCTGTCAGTAGTGATCCTGGTCTTGATGAGGCTTCATATCTCTCTTGGGTTGAAAAATTCAAGGCAGCCTCACAGTCAGGTGATAATCAAATTGTGGGGTTGGAAAGTAGAAGGAACCTGGAGGACAGGCATTTGAAAGTTGAGGCTGCAAAGAAGAAGGCAGAGGAAAAGAAAAAGACTAAGTGGGAAGCGCATGGATATCATTCTCTGTCTGTCCAAGATCCTTGCCCAGTGGATGGAGATATGATGTCATATTCAGGTTCTGTTCATTTTGTTTATGGAGATTGCACTGATCCATCAAAAGTTTGTCCATCTGAGCCTGCTATCATATTCAGGTTAGTTTCTTGTATGCATCTATCTTAGCCTTCTCATTATTATGCTCCCTTTACAGGACTAATGATTGGTCGTAATTTTCTCCATGACCAAAGAAATAGCCTCTGTTGCTTAGAATTTTAGTAATTGTAACTCAAGTTACTGTCACTTGGCATTGCTTTTGAATTTTTGCTATTTCTTAGCTTGTGAGCCTTCACTGCAGCATTGTTGGCCAAAATAGCCTAGATAATGCGATGGTGGAATTTTATTTGTGAACTTTCCTTTTGAAGCATTTCTGAACATTGAATACAGAATAAATCATCTGCTTTACATTTCTTTTGGGCATCTGGAATAATTTACAAAGCAATTGAAAGTGAGCTTGTCCCCTTAACATTTGAAGTGATTCTGCCCCCAGTGTTATGATGTACCATTAGTGGCTTAAAAGTATGTTCTTCATATTATGTTCATGTTAATATTTGAACTTATTGACCTCTTACTTGCACAGGGTTTATCAGAAAGTTGAACTTGTGCTTCTTATTCATACTTATTGACAATTAAATAAATTGGAAGTTAACCTCTTTTTTTGTTTATGTTTTTATCCTTGATTTAATGTTAATTTGACAGTTGTATTGATAATTCTGGAAACTGGGGTCATGGTGGAATTTTTGATGCTCTGGCAAAGCTTTCTGCCGGGATTCGTGATGCGTATGAACAAGCTTCTGAATTTCAGGACCTTCATCTCGGTGATCTCCATCTTATAAGAATCAATGGTCAGCTAACTAACTCGGATAATTCACCTTTTTTATTTTGGTATGTGTTTCTAATTTTCCCACTCTTATTCCATTTTTTGCCATGAAGAGGATTGCAAGGAAAATAATACTCCATGGTGGGTTGCTTTGGCTGTTGTACAATCTTACAATCCAAGACGTAAAGTTCCCCGTAGTGACATCTCTATGCCTGATTTGGAACGTTGTTTGTCAAAGGCATCATTCTCAGCGGCTGAAAATTCTGGTAAAGAATTTTAAGTTAATGTATCTTACATCACCCTCATCATCATTAATTACTATCATATCACCAAAACATTCGAGTTGGGTGGTGCGGCTCCCTCCTCTTTTGTTCCGTTTATCTTAACTACTTGATCCTTGCATTTTGTAAAGATGCAATCTACTTGGCTAATTTTTTGCTTTCATCCATTTGTGACTTCTCTCATCCACTAAAATGTGGAAAAACAAGGCCATACATTATGGGATGAAGCATCATTTCCATTATCATTTGCTGCTATGAAGAACCCAAGTTTTGTTTGCTTCAACCATTTGGAGCCATCTAATGTATTCTCCCCTCTTTCTTTTTAAACAGCTTCAATACACATGCCACGTATTGGATATCAAGATGGATCAGATCGTTCACAGTGGTACACTGTGGAACGTCTTCTGCGAAAATATGCTTCCATTTATGGTGTAAAGATTTTTGTGTATGCCTCTCCCTCTTTTTTGCCATCCCTCTCTCTCTTTGCAAATGTATTGTGAATTAATTTCATTTACCTTTTGCAGGTATTATTACCGTCGATAAGAAGCCGAAGGAGTATTGTTGTTCATGTCCATGACCTTCATGGATGTGTCTTTGCCATAAATTAAGTTACAAGCTCTCGTATGCTTATCTCCTTGCATGACAGTAGAAGGTTTTGACTGTTGTATAATGAATTATAATACTTGTTCTAAATAGATGCATTTGATGGGATGATATGGATATGTATCCCAGATATCTCGACTTCTTTGGGCTTTTAGTGAAGGATGCCTGAGTGTCGCTACTTTTGCATCTCAGTTTTGGTAATGAGAATTTTTAAGAGCTCATGAATTTGTAATACTAATTTCAAGAGCTTATGAATTTGTGGTCAATCGTTGGTTTTTCATGGATACCAGACGCCCAGGCCTCACTGTCTAGGCTGATAGTCGTCTGAACACGTCCCACTGTCAAAGCATTACATTGCTATCTCATTCATGTTTCTTTTTTCCCTCTAGAAATTCAGATCATTCGCTTGCCAGTTATTTTCTAGAAGTTCTATCAGAATGATGAGAAGCATGCCGAGGCTGAACCTTGTTTGAATTTTACAAACTGCCAATATTCAACTGTAGAATCTATTTCAGCACATAATAACTAGGAGGGAGCCGTCGAGGCGTGGACCCGTCAAAGTTTGTGATTTCATGCTTGACCGCCTCCAGCTTCGATGAGGCCGCTTATAGACACTCGTCTACGCTCTTGGGTCACCGCCAAGTTTAAAATCACAGTCTCATTAAAGATAGGAAGCGCCTGAAACATTTTTCTCCCGAACATTGTTGCTTGTAACTCTATTAAAACTAGAAGATCAACACGCCACTCTTATCTGCAGACTGCTGTTCCTCTATTGGTTTAATTGCTTCGATACAACGTGCATAAGAAAATCAGCCGGTTTTGACATCTGACTGATGAGATAAAATAATTTGTTGTAGTAATTTTATGTTCACGGAAATGGCGCTTAGTCCTCGTTCTCACCATCGTGCCGGCGAGCAACTCTTTCTCTACCAGTCTCCGCTACGTTCTGTTCTCCGGTAGGTCTGTCTTGACTTTTCCTTTTCTTTTCCTCCATTTCTTTTGGCTTCTTAATCATCTCTTGTAACTTCAAACATAAACACAGGTGCTTCTCGTCTCGTCGAATCAAGATCCATGGCGAAGGCATCGATGAACAAAAGCGGGGATGGGGTGATAAAAAAAAGTCATCCACCAAAACCAAGAGGGCAAAATCTATGGCTCGTGTCATCAACTCCACCCTATGGTCAAGTGAGCTTGAATCCTCTATTTCTTCTCTATCTCCTTCTCTTTCTAAAACCACCGTTTTGCAAACACTTCGCCTTATTAAAACTCCATCTAAAGCTCTTCAATTTTTCAACTGGGTTCAAAAAATGGGCTTCCCTCACAATACTCAATCCTTTTTCTTAATGCTTGAAATATTGGGTAAAGAAAGAAATCTCAATGCTGCTCGTAATTTACTGCTTTCAATTGAGAAAAGGTCTAATGGGTCTGTTAAACTCGAGGACAAGTTCTTTAACAGCTTGATTAGGAGCTATGGTAAAGCTGGGTTATTTCAAAAGTCTATCAAGGTTTTTGAGACAATGAAAAGCATTGGCGTTTCTCCTTCAGTTGTTTCATTCAATAACCTTTTGTCAATTTTGCTTGAAAGAGGACGCACTAATATGGCAAAGAGTGTGTTTGATGAAATGCTTAGCACGTATGGGGTTAATCCTGATGTTTATACTTTTAACATTTTAATTAGGGGTTTTTGCATGAATTCAATGGTTGATGAGGGGTTTGGGTTTTTCAAGGAAATGGAGCGATTTAAATGTGACCCTGATGTTGTTACTTATAATACAATTGTTGATGGATTGTGTAGGGTGGGAAAGGTAGGAATTGCCCACAATGTGGTGAGAGGTATGAGCCAGAAAAGTTTGGATTTGAATCCTAATATTGTTACTTATACTACTTTGGTTAGAGGGTATTGTATGAAGCAAGATATTGATGAGGCTTTGGTTGTTTTCCAAGAGATGATTAGTAGAGGTTTGAAGCCGAATAGGATTACTTACAATACTTTAATTAAGGGGCTCTCTGAGGTGCATAAGTATGATAAGATAAAAGAAATTTTGGAGGGAATGGGAGAAGATGGAAGATTTATTCCAGATACATGCACTTTCAACACTATAATAAATGCACACTGCAATGCTGGAAACACGGATGAAGCATTGAATGTGTTCAAAAGGATGTCGGAATTGGAGGTTCAATCAGATTCAGCTACTTATAGTGTTATAATCAGGAGTTTGTGTCAAATAGGGGATTTTGAGAAGGCGGAGGAGTTCTTTGATGAGCTAGCCAAAAAGAAGATATTATTAAGTGATGTAGGTTGTACGCCTCTTGTTGCAGCATATAATCCCATGTTTGAGTATCTATGTAGTAATGGAAAAACTAAGAAAGCTGAGAGAGTATTTAGACAGCTAATGAAGAGGGGAAGACAAGACCCTCCTGCTTACAAGACTTTAATCTTAGGTCATTGCAAGGAAGGTACGTTTAAAGCGGGATATAAGCTCTCGGTCTTGATGTTGAGAAGAGATTTTGAACCTGGTTTTGAAATCTTTGACTCACTTATTAGTGGTCTCTTGCAGAAGGGTGAACCTCTTCTTGCTCTACTGACCCTAGAGAAGATGCTGATGAGTTCGCATCTCCCTCGAACACCTTCTGTTCATTCTATACTTGCAGAGCTACTGAAAAAGTGTTGTGCCCATGAAGCAGCCAGTTTGGTAACTCTAATGCTGCACACAAGAATTAGACTGAATATCAATCTCTCAACACAGACTGCAAAGTTGCTGTTTGCAAGACAGTTGGAGGACAAAGCATTTCAAATTATTGTTTTACTTTATGATAATGGCTATGTGGTTGAGATGGAGGAATTGGTTGGTTTCCTTTGCCAGAGTGGAAAGCTTTTGGAGGCATGCAAGATGATGCAATTTAGTTTGGAAAAGCACCAAACTGTTGATATTGAAATGTGCAGCACAGTCATAGAAGGTCTTTGTAACAGCAAGAGTCTTTCGGAAGCATTTGGTTTGTACTATGAACTGGTGGAGAGGGGAAAACATCAACAGTTGAGATGCCTTGACAATTTGAGAATGGCATTGGAAGCCGGAGGAAGGTTAGATGAAGCTGAGTTTGTATTGAAGAGGATTCCAAACCAGTGGCAGTGTAATGATGCTTCTACAAAACTCAATGTCAGGACACAGAAATTTCAGCAGCAATAATTCCTGTGAAAGTCTTTTTATTTGATTCACTTTCCAAAAGTGGCAAACAGGTAATGTAGATCAAGCATCTTAACTACATGATTTTTGTTCATCTGAAGTATTGGCATTGAAACAGGCAGAGCCTTCGGATAGGCAGAGCCTCTTAGTTCAAGACTAATATTGGACCACTTTCAACCATGCCTCATTAGGTTGGAGATCATGCATGTTACTGCTAAGAAATTACATTTCTTGGATTTAGATTGATTTGTTGATACCTTTAATCTCTTGTTTCAGTAAAATCATTACTTTTTTTTATCTTGTGTCTACTTAAGATGCTATGCTTTGTTTTTTTTTTTTTGTAAGATAGTATTGCATTAACATTTCAACCTATGTTTAACTAGCGCAGGGCCCTGCTGCTTGAGTGTAGATATAATTTGTCATTTATATGGTTTTTTTTCTGATTTCTTGCAGGTTTAATTCGGAAATTTGATTGATAAATATTCCCAGTATATAGGTTCTTTTTTACATTGTAGTTGAGCATGTTATATTCATTATAAGTTTCATCCATAATAGGTAATCTAGGAGAATCAGGTCGCAGGAAGTCAGGTATATGGTTGAAGCCAACGACGTAATAATGGTGAATGGTTGAAGCCTTCTATAACTCAACTGATTATGAGCGTGTGTTCTGCAACATCCAGTCTCACTTAAAAGATAGATAGGATTCTCCCAAGTTGCCAAGTCTCCTCATTTTAAGGGTTAATAATCATGACTATTATAAGGGTTCTTTTTTGTATGTAATTATTCGCTGCCAAGATACTTCATTTGAGAATACTTTGTTCTTTGGTTCAGAAAACAAATTAACATCAGCAGAGTTGGGAGTATTATTATTATTAAAGAAAAGAGAGAAAGAGTGAGAGATTTGGGCTTATAACTTGCAGGTCATACTAAAGAAGGAAAAGACTGCTATCCCCATAGCCTTCACACTTCTAACAACCTTTACCAAACCCCAATACAAGTAACCAATTTCTCTTTTCATAACAGGCTTTCTTGAAACCAAACTCTCTCCAAGAACAAGCTAACCTCTTCTTTATATTCTCTGCTAATGGAAACACCGACATTAACTTTTCCATAAGCCTAACCGGAATCTTCTTTCCAGGCTTCCTAAAGATGTCAAAAACTGACAATAATGGTGCTCCTTGGCAGCATCTTACGCATGCTTCCATACCAGGGAAGGCAACCGTGCTTGCCATCGGCAAGGCATTTCCAAGGTAACTCATTGCTTAAGAATGCTTGGTGGAGGGCTACAATCACAATACAAAATGCGAAGATGTCTCCATTGAAGAGAAATTGGAACTTTTATGTAAGCAAAGTTCTCTGTGTCAAACTGCCACCGTTAAAAGTCCCCACTTTCCTTTTTGGTGGCTTCTCAGAAAATTACAAGCATAGATTCTTGCAATAGTATTGTCTTTTATTATATATCATTTATAAGAGTTTTCTAAGGTTGAGTTAAATTTGGCAATTCTGATTTACAAGAGTTTTATTTAATTCTTCTGTTGTGCATCTTTGGCTTTTTTTTTTTTGCAAATATACTTGCTGAGAAGGTTTTTGCATTGCTTTGTAGATGGGCCTCTATCTCTATTGAGGATGCTTTTCTTGGCCGACTTACATCGACAGCTGCAACTGAAAGTTCCTCCAATAATTTCCTAGAGCCGATGAAGATAGAGAACAGACTGCCTCTGAAAAGACTAGTAACATTTTACACAATATAATAGTTGCCATTAATAAGCTATGGTGCCTGAAGTCGTGTTCTGTTAACTACCTCCGAGACTACCATCCTTGGTTTTTGACCTCCAAACAAAGCATTACCGTATGACCTTGTTGGTGCAGCACTTTTTGTTAATGGAGCAGTTGCAGTGATAGTTGGAACCGATCCAGTAAAGAGAAGAGAATCTCCTTTCATGGAACAATTCCTGCCAGGAACACAATGTCATCGATGGGCACCTTTCTGAAGAGGGTATAATCTTCAAACTTGGCAGAGACCTTCCCCAGAAGATTGAAGACAACAACATCAAGCAATTCTGCAGGAAACTCATGTCAAAGGCTAGTTTGACAGAATTCAACGACTTGTTCTGGGGTGTTCATCCTGGAGGACCAGCTATTATACTCAACCGCTTGGAGAACACTCTCAAACTGAACAAAGGGAAACTAGAATGTAGCAGGAGAGCATTGATGGACTATGGAAATGTTAGCAGCAACACCATCTTCTATGTCATGGAATACATGTGGGAGTAATAAAAATATAGTAATTTATCTAAATAAAGTAATAAAATTCAGGGTTTTTTGTTATTATTTTAACCTAAAACAAAAAAATTAGATCTTTTTTGTGGCCCATAAAAATTTCTTACATTGATGTAACATGGCCAATAATTGGTGAGCAATAAAATCAGTATTGGGCTCAAACTGAATATAATTTTCCTCTTAGAGCCCTTCCTTTCAAGGCCCAATTTCAATAAAGTGAGTCCAAACGACATCGTTAGCTTCATCTTTTGATTTTGCTACTAACATCCTCGGGCTTCTTCTCACCCGTCAGTCATAGGTGTTGAAAATTACTGAATCTACAGTAACAAAACAATAACATTACTAGCGTGGCATCCAAATTCAATAGCTGCAAAATTTTCACAGATAATTAGTAATTCGAGAAGGCTTCAGGTAAGTGCTTCATGAATTTACTTCTAAAAGTAAATTTTTTATCGTTTATTCTCCGATGGTTATTTGCTCTCCTCTTTAATATTTCTGCATTTTACTTCTTTTTTTTTTCATTTTATGCTAGGAATCTTTCAATGAGAAAGATCTAGTCTAAGAATCAGTAAAATGAAATTGAAAGAATGAAATAAAGATTTTTGTGGAAGGTTTAATAACAGTATAACTACCTAGTCTTCGGCTTTTGGAAGCAAATTATTCTACAATGGGAATGCTCCTTCCAAAACTTAGATTAAGAAGGGTTGGGTTGCTCTTCTTCTAGGCAATTTTTTGTTTATTGGTTTCTTTACCTCCCTATTTTTCCTCTTTGAGTGTCTTTTATTAAGAAACTAACCTGTTATTTTTCCCCCTAGTGGTTTTTCGAGGTTGATCCCGTTGAGGAAAGCTGAAAGCTGCAGAAATGGAGAATCAAGGACATGGTTGGTGGTAAGTGTTTTAGCTTCGTAAGTCTAGGTAGTTTTTGTTTGAAAATGTTTTGTCCGTATCTGCATGCGGTTTACGTTTCAAGTTGTTGCTGGGTTTTAAAGAGGCTCTTTTTCCAAGATGTTTAGTCTCATCTGGGCACCAGTTTAAATTTGTAACATACTAGAAGCTTTTTCTGCTGTAGATTTTCTTCCTTCTAGTATTGTTTCATGTATGATTTTCTGTGCACTTGTTTTGACTGGAACTGATGTTGCTAACATTTAGTTTGATATAAGCTTTCTCTTCAGCCTTTTTATCTTCAATGTAGGATCTTCTTTTGCAATAACATTCAGTTTCTATAACTTCGTAACTTGGTGTTATAGTTCTCTTTTCTCCTTGATAGATGATGTTATAGCTGATCTGTCCATCCTTATCTTATATTGCAAGTAACAGCAACCCTGTTGTCAGGTACAGAGTGATGGTCTGGGAAATTATGGGCTTATTCCTCAATTATTTACTTATTATCTTGCACAAACAGCTACTTGCTTAACTGGTTGTTTTTCTGATTATTCTGGTAAGTTCTTTCCCTTCATATTATATTTCTCCCTTTTTTCTCTTCAATATTTATCTATGGAAGTTCATTTTGTTTCTCTTTTTTTATTCCCTTTTTTTTTCCTGGAACTTAATCATTAGCCTTTGAAGAGTTACTTATCTCATTTTCGTGTGGAACTTGCTGATTAATGAAACTAATAGTGTTCTTCATTTGTTTGGTCTATATATCTTCTTCTCATTGAGTTAACCTATGATTTATGGATGTCTTCATTGCAATACTTTTTGGCAATGTTGCAGTGGAACCTGATGCTAGAGATTCGAGGGATTCCATTGTACATGAACAAGAATTAGTAACATTTTCTTCTGGACAGAGTGAGGTGTCCATGATTAGTGATCATCTGTTTTCTAGTGGAAACTGCTCGACATTGTCTGAATCCTCTAGTCCTGCTTCTACTACCCCTGCTAACCATGTTGGAGTAGCAAGGGCCTCTGCTGGAGATCCATCTGAAAATACTGGTGTGATTGTACAATCAAATAATACTGAGCTAAATGGGATTTCCATTTTTCAAGGGCACCTATTCCTATATGCTTAATTGTGGATGTCTTTTGTAAGGAAATTTGTGAAAATGGATTGTGATTTTAAGATTTCATTGCATACTTTATAATATTACTAAATAGTAGTAGTTACACATTATGCTAAAAGGTCAAAATGTTTACAATTTTTAAGTGGTGAGGTTCCTCACGCTGTCAGTTTAAATAATCCTTGTCTGCACCACTGGTTCCTATTGAGGAAAGTGGGAAAAAGGGGGGGGGGGGGAGATAATTGATTTATGAGATATAGGGTAGCGTACTTCTTTTAATTTAAAATACTTGAAGTTTTTTGTGTAATACTCTTCCCCTTTATTTTCCTGTGATCTCTATTTGTATTGCTCTTAGTTAGTGAAGAATCAATTTTAGTTATGAGTATTTTATGGAGTAATGAATTGTTCCAATCTTTCAAAAACCAAAAACCTCAGGCTTATTGAAAGAGCATGGAGGACTGTTCGTGGATCTGCAGATGATATAGGATGGTTGAAGAGTGATCCAGAGACGCCTTCAGTTGAAGATGGAACTGAGGAGTTTATGGAAATCCTTGACAATATTAGGTAAAATAGGCGGCTTTGCATCTTTTATGTGGTTGCTATTTCTTGGCATGGTTATGCATTTCTTGATTTGTTAGCTCTCATTTTGTCAGGCATGGTCTACACAAACTGCCAAGCTCAATGGTTTATTTATTGGTTCCAGGTACCTTTGCAATTTCTCCTCCAGAAAACAACAATATTTGTACTCAAGGCATTTCAAGATAATAAAAAAAAAATGTAGAAGCTGGAAGGAGGGTGGTGTTAATTTTGAATCTGATATACTCAAGTAGAGATTAGAACATAGATACTGTTTCTTACAGTACTCTTTTTAGGAAAAACACATTTGTTGACTAAAGGTTTAGTGTAAGCAGGTTAAAACACCGAAGATTGTTTCTTAAAAAAATTAGGGGGAAGAGGAAAACAGTGTTACCAGACCCATCCTTAATCGAGTTTATTTCCTCACCAAGTATATGAGTACCTTCCAAATGATTTATTTCATATCAGCTATGAAACATATTGTATGCCTTTCAGAGTTGAAATCTGATATTGTATACAACATTGATATAGCAAGTGATTAAGATTCTACCTGGGATTTCAACTGACTAAAATCAGTTATGGAAAATTATACTTGGAACTAAGAGTATCCTAAAATGGAACCAAGGCTGAAATTGACTCTTGTTCAAATTCAAAATTTAACCCTGAACTTAATCTTTTTGAATGGTGAAGTTTGATGCCATTGGTTGGCATGCTGCAAATAGTTGATTTGTTGAGAGATATCTTTGAACTATTTTGTTTTGATTTCTCCTCTTTGTAAGTTCAGATTCAATATTTCTATGTTGCTTAAATTCTTAATTCTGGCTATTTTCATATTTGGCAGGTCTTTTCAGCAACCATGGGCCTCTTTATTTTGTCAGTACAAAAACGAGTTTCTCAAAGATGGGTCTGACTTGTCACATTGCGAAAATTCACAGTGAGGTGTATTTAATTAGTCTTCACTCGCATGGTTCTGTTCTTTTTAGTCTAAATTGAGCATTGAGCTATCACAAATCAGGCTTCAGTCGAGAAAAATGCCAGAGAGATAAAAGATTACATTGAGGAAATTTATTGGGGATCAAAGAAACGTGTTTTGCTTCTTGGACATAGCAAAGGAGGAGTAGATGCAGCCGCTGCTTTATCTATGTACTGGTCTGACTTGAAAGATAAGGTTGCCGGTTTGGCATTAGCACAGAGTCCATATGGTGGAAGCCCTATAGCTGCGGATATCTTGAGAGAAGGACAGCTTGGTGATTATGTTAATCTACGGAAACTTATGGTGATTCCAATTTGCAAAGTGATTACGGTATGCAAGTGGTCTTTTATACATTTTCTTTCCCTCTTGAGTGTCTACAAAAAACTGAAAGCATGACCATACGCAATTACAGTTGCTGCAACTTCTGAGTTTCCATGGGATGAACTCAGCTCGTAATTTTGGTATTTTAGTGATCGTTACCTCTTTTTCTATGGAAGGAGCCTACATTCTAGTGAAATGCAGTTGCATTATCTTTTAATAATTTGTAGCCTTTCACATTTTATTTTGCTAACAAGCTTCACATGAAACATTATGACTGCAAATGGGGACATGCAAGCTTTGGAAGACTTGACTTACGAGAGAAGGAATTTTTGAAGAAACACTGTTTGCCGAGGGAGCTTCCTGGTGTTTCTTTCCATACTGAAGCTAGCATCAGTCCTGCTGTTCTGGCAACATTATCTCATGTTGCTCATGCGGAGCTACCATTGTTGACTTCCCTTTCTGCTGGCCAGCCTGCAAGATTACCTGTTGTCATTCCCCTCGGTGCTGTAATGGCTGCATGTGCCCAGTTGCTGCAGGTAAGGTATGGTGAAAAGAGCGATGGGGTTGTCTAACGCTGTGATGCAGAAGTCCCAGGATCTGTTGTGGTGCAGGCCAAACGTAAATTAGATCATGCCTGGATGGTTTATTAATCATTGAATGATGACCCTTCTGCAGCAGATGCAGCGCAAGTGTGCGAGGCTCTTTTGACATTACTTGTGGAAGTTGGGCAGAGAAAAAGGCATGAACTTCCAATGAAAGACGAATGACATCAGTCCGCTCATGCCGATGTCATGCTTGGTTGTAATAGGTTGAGGTTAGTTGAGATTTTCTAAGTTCTTTGGCCACACGACTTCAGTAGCTCGATTAAAGTCTGATATTTGATCGTGTATGTAGCTGAAAGCTAGGCTGACTCATTGTGCCCAAGTTGCTAAAAACAGAAAATTTACAACAATGATCAAAATTTTTAAACATATGAAAATCATCAACCGACATTAGAAAACCAACCTTTTTGATGCAGTTAGCGGTAATTCCAGACTCTCTGACAGACAACACCGACACATTCCACGACCGCCAATAAGGTTTCAAAGCTCCAATGAAAGCCTCAAGTCAAACCAAACACTGGACTGTTCTTTCACTGCCTTAGCTTCACTAATCAGATTCCACCCGTCACCCTCCTGCGTACCATCCCCTGTGTCTTAATCATTATTCACCAGTTCCACCTCCTTAGGTTCCTCTCCAACAGCACCAGGTGTCCATGTTTGTAAACATCGAAACTAAAAAAAGGTGAAAAAAAAAACACTTGTTTTTGCCCCAATTCCCAATACTACCCTTCTAACATTCACGAAATTTCAAACTCTTTCATTCAATACCCCTCACTAACCCAGGTATTTTGTTCATTTTATTTTATTTTATTTTTCTCTTTCCTACTCGAGCTCTCTTCTACTGCGCGTTCCGTCGGGAAAAAAAAAATAAAGGGTGAAAAGAAACTGCATCAACTCTTATTATTATTAGAAATTCGATTATAGTTTCGACACAGTTAGGGTTTTCAGTTTAGAAAAAAAAGAAAGAAAAACTGATTGGTTAGGTCTTTCAAATTGAGGAATTAGGGTTTCCGAACGGATTAATTGGCTAGGTTTTGTTACTGGACTATTAGTTTTTGATTCAGCCAGGTTAAGATTTTGGTTTCTTTGTAGCGGATATTCCACTTGACCTTGATGTGAATAAAGGTGGGTTGGGTGGACTTCTAGGGTTTTTGAGTGTGGGGGTGGGTTCAATGGGGAGCACTGGTGAGGCTGATCGAAAACGGCGTCACTTTAGCTCTTTGTCGCCCACTGCTGTTGCCGCAAAGAAGCAACCGTTTTTTCCAACTTCTGAGGAGAAAAAGGTATTGTCCTTTGTTGCTCATTCTGTTAAAATTTTCTGATTTGAAGTAATTGGTGGAATATTTATGCTTGTCCTATTGCTCAGTATTTTCTTAAATTTCAATTTGAAAATAATCAAAATAACTTAATTTCTGACTTGGGTTTTTTCTTATGTATCAAATTTGGCATTGCTAATTTACCATACGGTATGGACTTTAATCTCATTTAAGGGATCAAACGGATATATAGTTGTGACCTAATGCTTGGAACTTTAAATATTGATACAAGAAATATGATCTTTTTCCCTCTTTTGACTTCCGAGGATTTTTCTATTATTTTAGATGATCATGGATTTTATGCAGGTTTATTTGCTTTAAATGCCACTTACCTTCTTTGCAGATCTCATTTACCTCACAGTAGTAACTATATTATTTGTACCAATACCCTCATTTTAGTTGTATGCTTTTGGTTGAACATTGCTGGTTCTTGGGTCGTTTTCAGATGTGAACATGGGTGATTATTATTTTTGGGATAGGTTTGCTTGGTGTTTAGGTAGGTTGATTGGTCTGTAGAGATTTGTAAGTTGGACTTCATTGATTTTTGGGTGAAATATCTTCCTTTAGAATTGGAAACCTCAAGCCCTAATTTTGGCATAGCTTTGTTTATGCTAGTGCACATTATTGGTTGTCAGCAAAAATTATATTGTATATAAATTTTTTTTTTTATCTATGCTTGTATATTTTCCTGCTTTGAAATCATGATGTTATTGAATTTTTTGTATTGTTTTCTGGTTTTTGAATGCTGTAAAATAAAGTTTTTGGGAAATAATTCATCTGTCCGTGACAAGTAGGTTTCCAAGTTGAAACTTTTTCTTTTTTTAATTCATATTTTTGAACCTTCTCCGAATGGTACTTCCTTTTTTGTTGGTATGATGCAGCATGATACTGCAGTATTGCAATTTCAGAATCAAAAGCTTCTGCAAAAGTTAGAGGCTCAGAAGGTAGAGTATTCTGCTTTTGAGAACAAGTTCATTCTATTGAAGGAGAAACAAAAGCCATATGATTCTACATTGAAAGTGGTGAATAAATCTTGGGAAGCGGTAAGACCCTGTTCAAACTGTTAGACTCAAACTGTTAGACAATTTTATGCATTATCTGCTCATTATAAAAGATGATAATTGTATTTAAATCTTTTAGATTTTTGTTTTATTTAGTAAATTGCTTGATGGGAAATTGACATTAACCTTTTACAATAGCTAATTACTGACTTGGAATCACATTCCATCCTCACAAAAGAGTCTAGCAGACGAGATTTTGGAAGTGCACCAAATACGGAGGGTGAGAATCTTTTGCCATGCTTTGGTTTCTTTTATTATTGTTGCTGCCGCTTGTAATGGACTGTAAACATAATTCCAAGGACTATGCTTTCTTTCTTGTTGAAACTTATAATTTATAAGGTTGAGTTAAATTTGGCAATTCTGATTTATATAAGTTTTATTTAATTCTTTCGTTGTGCAATTTTGGTTTTATATTTTTATATTTTATATTTTTTTGTTTTGCAAATATACTTGCTGAGAAGGTTTTTGCATTGTTATGTAGATGGGGCTATATCTTGTACTGAGGATGCTTTTCTTAGCCGACTTATGGAGACCGGTGCAACTGAAAGTTCCTCCTCCAATAATTTCCCAGAGCCGATGAAGGAAGATAGAGATCAGACTGCCTCTGAAAAGACTAGGAGCATTTTACACGATATAATAGTTGCCATTAATAACCTATGGTGCCTGAAGGATGGACTATATGCTGCAGTTTGGAAAGAACATCCAAACTATGGTACGCATCTAGTGGAAATTGTATATTGTGTACTATATTGTTTTTTTTTTAATAAAATTTTTCTCTGGAGTATTACCCAGTTAACTGTGTTAATGTCTCTTATGCTAGGTTCTTGCAGGCAGAAGGCATCTAGTGAACTAGAATCACAAGTTAAGAATTTGAGATTAGCAACAGGTGATATTCATTTGAAACACAGATCTTTGGCGAGAGAATTGCAGAGCCATAGAGATATGGATGCTAAGAATAATGCTGAGATTAAACGTCTAAAAGGTAACCTACTATATGTGGTTAGAATTCATCTGTTTATTAAGAAGTTGTGACATCATCATTGGTTGTCTGGATGTGACATTATCAGTTGCCACCTAAGCAGATTTAGCATGCAAGATATGTTCTTAACTCATTTATTACATTGATCTTTCATGTATGTGGTGGAATGGACAAAAATCAGTACACATGCTTGCTGTGTAATTATGTAAATTTATGCAATCCACACAATTATCACACCTTAGACAAACTGCTATCTCTCTTTAATGCTGTGGATGGGCTAATCAATGGGAGATAAACGTTTCATTGTTGTTCAAATGCCAGTTAATTATCAAGGTATGAGATGTCATTGAAATATATCTGAGTTTGACTGTCATCTTTTGCTTTTTTTTTTTTTTTTTGAAGGTGAATTGGAGAGTGCAGTATTGGAACTGCAGGAAAGTAATTGCAAATTGGCGGCTCTTAAAACTGAAATAGATGCAACAAAAGGGGCATTTATTCCTTTCTTAAACCTTGGGAATAAGTATGTTGCTGGTGATAAAATCAAAGATAAGCATAGAGATTTGCAAGAAATGGAGTCTGCCCTCAAAGAGTTGTCGGTAATTCCTACTTTCCTTTGAGTTATATTGTGAAGTTTCTGAAACTGAATATTAATCAGGATGATTAATTTGATTTGCACAGGAACAAGCTTCTTCTCAACTAACAGAACTGAAAGGTCTTCATGAAGAAAGGATAAAAATATTACAGCAGTTATCAAATTTGCAGGTTTACCTTTTTGAATTATTATTAATTTTCATTTATTTCTGAAATGCAGTTCTATTTATTCTGTCATAAATTGAATGGGGATTTCTGATTGACAGAACACATTGAAGAGTGTAAAGTGTATTTCTTCTTCCCAAGTGTACCTTTTGGTGAGAGATCAACTAGAAAAGTCAAAGTCAGAAGTTTTCCATTATCAAGATTTATTTGAGAAACTACAGGTTGTTACTGGTCGGTAGTTTCATTTATGCCTTTTGTCTGTCATTTTTATTAAGGGCATCCATTCCCATGCTGACTATATCTTCCCTCCTAAAACTTTTAGGTTGAGAAAGATAACCTGGCTTGGAGAGAAAAGGAATTCAGTATAAAAAATGATATAGCTGATGTATTTCGGAGATCATTGGCTGTTGCTGATTCTAGAGCTTCTCATCTGGGGGCCGAGATAGAGCGTCAAATTGATGAAAGAAAGAGAATTGAAGCTAAGCTTGAAGAGGCATCTAGAGAACCAGGTAGGAAGATGTATATAGTTTGTTATTATTCTGAATCATCTGCTGTTTTCATCTTGTAGCTATTCTTTTACTGAAAATCTGCTTAAAATACATTTACATTTCAGGAAGAAAGGAAATAATTGCAGAATTTAAAAGCTTGCTTTCTTCATTTCCCGAGGAAATGAGTTTGATGCAGAGTCAATTAGGTAAGTACAAAGAGGCTGCTATGGATATTCATTCTCTCCGGGCTGATGTGCAATCTCTTTCCAGTATTATTGATAGGAAGGTTAGTACTTTATAAGTTGTGGTTAATTCTGGTTTTGCTTTAAGGGCTTAGAGATCCTTTTTTCTATATGGACTTGCAAAGAATTTGTAAATAATTATTTATGAACAGGCAAAGGAGTGTGAGAATTTATCTGGCAGATCTGCTAACCAAGTTGCTGAGATGCATAAGCTGCAAGCCATGGTATGATTGGTTAATATTACTCTGTTATTTTGATTAAATCTGTCTTCAAGAAACCTGTGATAAGAAATTGATGCTTGTTCAAATTAAAGGGAAAGATGCCTACTTTTACCTGTAAAATCTGCTCTTGTCAACCTTTATGCTTTTTTCTCAGAAACAAAGAAAATCTATTAGTCTACATATTTTTTCTAATTACAGGTCCAGGATTTGAAGGACAGTGACGCAGAGTTGAAGTTGATATTGGAGACGTATAGACATGAATTTACTGATTCTAGGTTAGGTTACCCATACAAGATGCTTTCTTTTATTTTCTTCTGCAGTGAATTCACATCTAATTTGATACATTGAAGTTGACTTTATTTTCCATAGAATATGCTGGATACCTAAGCAATGTTTTGACAAATCTCTCTCACTGTTTAGAGTTAGAATGAACATCTGTTTCTTCTGCATTGTAACTTTACATTTTCTGGGAGGTGTTGTTGCCTAAGGTGCAGGAGAATGTTGGTATCTTATGTTATACTGGTTATTATATGCTGCCTTGAGAACATTCTCCCAAGTTTGGAGGAATGTCTATTCCAGATGTAATTTTAGGAAGTAGGATTTGATTTATTAGTGGGCTTGTTCGTTTGGTTTATTTTATTAGTCTTTATTTGGGTTAGGTGGGCTTTGTTGTCTAATGGTCTGAAAACCTTGGTTTATGAAGCTTATTGGGAGGTTGGATTTTGATTATTGACGTCTTTGATATTGAGAATTTTCAATTTATACAATTGAGATTTCAGACAATTTATTGAGTATTGTCATTCTGGTTTATTGTTCAATGTCAGTTGAGGTTCTGATCTTGCAATCCTTGATATTGTTCAATTCTTGATGTGTAGTTCTAGATTCTTACAATTTTTTTTTTTTTTGTGATTGCAGAGATGTTTTGGATGCGAGAGATTCAGACTACAAGTCATGGGCTTATGTTCAAAGTTTGAAATCCTGTCTTGATGAGCAAAATTTGGAATTACGTGTTAAGACAGCTAATGAAGCCGAAGCGATATCCCAGCAAAGTTTGGCTGCTGCAGAAGCTGAAATTGCTGACTTGCGACAGAAACTAGAAGCTTCTAAGAGGTTAAACTTCACTTGGTTTTTTTCTTTGGAGTTTTTCTTTTATGATTGGGAAGAGGATGTTGTCTAGACCTTTCCAGCAAACCTGCAATTGTCATTTCTGCATTAGGCAAATGTTTCTTTATCGTGCCTAGACAATTCCATCATACAGTATTCTGTTGAAATTCCCGTTGGCCAAGATGTAAAGTATTGGAAATAGTATAGCAGGTATAAGTGTAGTTGTTTCCTTTATTTATCTTCTCATCTTGCATTCATTTATCAAAATGCTATTGCAGGGATAAGGCTAGGCTTTCTGATACTTTGAAATCCAAAAATGAAGAAAATGAGGCTTACTTGTCTGAAATAGAGGTTAGTTTCTTGTCATTTATTGATGGCTCTGCCTTTCGTTCTGTCATGATGGTTTCTTGAGGTTGTTAGTTTGGTTTTTTCCTCAGTCAATTGGACAGGCATATGATGACATGCAAACACAAAATCAGCAGCTATTGCAGCAAATCACAGAGAGAGATGACTATAACATCAAGGTAATAAATTTATTTGGTTTAGGATATTCTGCACATTGAATAGTTTATGTTTTAGTATCATTTTACCACATTTTGTTGCTGCTTACTGCCATAAAGTGATGGGTAGAGTGACAATATTTTTATATTTGTCTTTATGCTGACTAGGTATGATTGAATTTGACTCTTTATGCTTTCATTCCAACATCAAAGTGTCCACTTATCACTAGCTATGAGCCATGTATTTAGAAGTGAAACGGTTCTTAGTATGATCATGGATGCTTGCATAACAAATCATAAAAGATATTTGACATGGAATAGAAACTTTCACGTGCTAACCAACCATGGAAAACTAACAATTAAAAGGGGGTGCATAATTTTTGTTTAGACATGGGGAGATAGAACATGGGAAGTTGAGTCCAGTGCTTGGTCTCTATTTGGATGTTAATTCTTGGTATTAAGATTCATAGAAGTTCTCCTTGCCGAGTTATCCGATTTGATTGGACATGTGATAACCTCCATGTTAAAATTTTATTGAGATGGGATTTCTGAATCGCATAATTCTCCAAATATATCAGGGAAAAGGGTGTTAATGGCGTAAATATTACTGGTATTTGCTAAAAAATTGGTGATAATGGACTTGTAGTTTTAACATAAAGATGGATGTGCCTATGTTGAAACTCGAAGAGAAGTTAATATCTGTGGTTCCGTCATAACTAATTCCTGTAAAGGATTTTGGGCTTCTAGGTTCATCATGCTATTTCGTGACATTTACATTAATATACAGGACTTATACTCATAGAGCATCATGTTTCTGTCTGTATATTTGTATTTTTGCTCCTAGAACTTGATGTTGTTGCTTCAATGGTCCTCTTTCAGCTTGTTTTGGAAGGTGTGAGGGCAAAACAGCTGCAAGGAGCTCTACACTTAGAGAAACATACCATGGAGAAGGAGATTCAGCAAGCCAGTGCATCCTTTGATTTTTATGAGATGAAAGCTGCAAGAATAGAGGATCAGGTATGCATGACCTATATTGTGGGAAATAATCTTCTAAAAGTAATATGATTTTTTGAGGCTTGAGCAATTCCTTTTGCAGTTGAGGTTCTGCTTAGAGCAGGTTCAAAAACTTACAGAAGAAAGATTTCAAAACTCAGTTTCATTGGAAAATACACAAAAGCGATTGTCAGATGTGAGAAGATCATCTCAACAAGCAAGGGAGTCACTGGAGGAGTCACAATCTAAGATTGAGAAAAGTCAAGTGGAATTGGTGGAGTTGCAGATAGAATTAGAGAGGGAAAGGTAAAGTAATTTATAGAATTTTTTTTATGTTTCTGTCTGTTCTAAGTGCATAGGGTGAATTTATATCAGTCTTTGTTCACTTTATTCATCTATTAGGTTTAGCAAGAAAAGAATTGAGGAGGAATTGGAAGTGGTGAGAAGGAAGGTTTTATGTCTTCTAGCCGAGACAGAAGGATCGTCTATTGTAGGAAGGCTTCGACAAGAACTTAGAGAGTACAAGGAAATACTGAAGTGCAGTATCTGTCTTGACAGACCAAAAGAGGTAAATATGCTATTCTGATTTAGTATTTCCAGGTGGCAATTTTTCAACTGGTACCTTTATTGTTGTAGCTTGAGCTTTTATTCTCTATTGCACTGACAATGGATAGGGTGCTTCCGTGCCTTTGGCTGCATCAAGAATGGTTTTTGTACCTGTTACATGGGTTCTCGGGGAAATACTCTTCACATTGTTTTTGTAGCTACGGCTTTTTTCAAATCTGTTTCAATTAATGCTCTTGCCTTACCTTTTTTCTCCATCTGTATTTTTTTGCTTAGAGATTGTTTGTCCCTTATTCAGGTTGTTATTACAAAATGCTACCACCTCTTCTGCAATCCGTGTGTACAAACAATTATTGAAAGTCGTCACCGCAAGTGTTCAGTGTGTGCTGCAAGCTTTGGTGCTAATGATGTTAAACCTGTTTATATCTGATATTGGAGCTCTCATCACAGCTGATCGTCAATGAGATTTGGCCAGCATCTCTCGTGCATGCGACCATATCTGACATATGGACACTCACAGGTTCCGATGTATTGTTATATTACAGATTTGTTAGAAAAGAATCTTGACAGGAACTAGAGGGTTCCTGTTCTTTTGGTCAGTGCAAATCCTCTCAGATTTGCTTGTTTGCTTCTAAGTAGTTGATTTGACTTAATTTTATTTATTTATGATGTTTGCCTCTTTATTTAACTGCTTGGAGCGACTGGAATCTTTCAAGTTATTATTTGCAGATTAGTCAGAATTGATCAAATTCAATATCCAGAGCCACGGAGGTTGCGTGATCAAATAATGAAATAAAATTTATGATGCTAAGCCTGAAAAAAAGAAACAAAAAAGAAGATCCCTGTCTATCTCCATTGGAAGTAGGCATCGAGACTAATCCAAGGATTATTTTTTTTCCCTGCCGTAACCATTTTAAGCATTATTCAAATTTTTGGCGTACAGATTCTCATAGCAAATTATTATCAGTATTGTTAATATTTCTTTTTTTTTTTGTGGTCAAATTTTCTCCTCTTTGTATTGCAAGTTGTGACATTATCTGTTGAAAGAAAATATTTAGATTTTCTCTATTCTTTTATTTGTTGTGTAGAAACCTTTTTAATTGCATCATATCATTCTTTGAAATTTAAAGAGCTTTGGTTTGCTTGCTTTCCTCAAGGGAGTAACGAGGATGAGTATATATGAGACTGGATTTTGGCAATGACTCAAATTATTGGTATCTGTAGCGTTCTTACCACGAAGCCAGACTCCATTATCTATGCCGAATAACTTACAGGCCAACATGTAGGTGACAAATGTAGTATGTCCAGGTTAATGAAAGAAATTGCAAATGTCAGGATTAGAACTTGTCTACCTCTGCTGATTGGAAGCTGTTACTAGCATTAGTTGATAGTTTCGGTAATGGATGCGGGCTGTTTGATGTTGTTAAAAGAATGTGATCACAGGTGCTGTAAAGCTGTTTGTCCTACAAAAAAACGTGAGTCTTGCTCTCTAGAAATCTTGTCAGCTTTGAGTATTAGCACACGTGTAATGGTTCAAACTCAACAAACAAGTGTTTGTTTATCCAGCAATAAACACATAGTAGTCCTAGATCACAACCCCAAATTAAAGTTTACTACGTAAAATCAACTCACTATAATAAATAATAATAACAATGTGGAAAAGAAAGTTCCAGTCTGGTAACAGATGTGCTATTTACAAGTGTGGCGGCCCTTAGTACGTCATGAACAAACATAAAAAGCAAAAGCGCCAGAACTCTATAATTTGGTCAAGTAGTGCATGCAAGGAAGGGTGATTAGCAGGCGCTGGGTACACTTGGTTGCATTGAAGACATTACAAGCAGTGGTTTCAGCATTACACGAATACCAAAGATAATAAACCAGCTCCAGATTGTCAATCCATAGCTGTAGAGTCCGACAATATGATTCAATTCAGTCAAGTAGCATTACGGAGAGCATATATAGTACAGGTATTAAGATACTACACAGATTTTTTTTTTTTTGGTTGCGAGTCTTATGACCCTATATGTAGTACTAGAGTTTCAAAATTTGGACCATTGCAGATGAAGTATGTGGGATCATGGCTTATAATTTTAAAGAAAGAAATGAAGGTGTTGGTTACCGTCAGACTCAACGCAAACTGCATATGATACTATTGATTAGATAATTGGATCTAAAGCTAAGAAAACCTTTAGTTATTGATAGTTACCTCTAATCAAGTGCTGGAGCTACCAAGATCAAAGTCCATGGTGTAGTCATACTCAATTGTCGGAATTACGGAGGCAACAAATTTCAAGAACAAGAAAAGATACCTGCAATAGTTGAGTTGGAAACAGAAATTCGTGAGTAAAAAAGTCACAGAATTGCTCCACGGTAACAGTTGAATTAGTTGCACTGAAGCACCCAAAAGTACATGTAGACTGCATTTTAAGAAGGTAAGAAAACAATATGATGACAGTTAGTGCAAGGGCACTTGCACACACATTTTCTCAAAAGGTAAAAGGGTCAATTCAAGGCAATTTAGTAGTTAGAGGGACCAAAAGTTTTACTTATCAACTTCAGGTTCCACTCCACGTGACATCAGCACATCAATGATCTTTTTCATCACAGCCCCATGTCTGCATGGATGTACGGATGCATGCTTCCCAGGTAAGTGAGGATGGTCCTCAATAGTAACCTGTATTCAGGTAAATCACAATGGAGTAAGACATTTTTCAAATTCATTTAGGAGCATGCAGATAAAAGAATGAGATAAGCAAACTGAAGTCCATACTCCTGCCCATTAAGAATGAATGAAATAGAAAATTTTGAATTGTTAAGTATGGCATACCGTTTTGTGTGCATGGTCCTGACTAACATCCTCCAGAACAAGCTCTGGTTGTAAAAGCATCCTTGACTACAACCAAATTCAGATGAGGACAATGATTTGTATTCAAATTGGTTAGTTCAATATTTACATTAACAAATAAAAAAAAAAAAAAAGGAAGCAGTAAAAACAGGGATTTTTTGGGCGTTAGGGGGGGGGGGGGGGAGGATGCGCCTATTCTCCAACACCTACCTCATCATACCCAGTAAGCCACACGCGAGGTGTTTGATAGTATTTATCATACCTGCAAATAAGATAATGTTTGGCAAGTTTGAGATTTCATAAGAAAATGCATATTCTGACAACAAATCCTAAGCATGTTTGCAGGCACCAGAATCGTCTTACGTGATGCTGACATCATAGGTTCGGGTCCGTAAAATATTGTCATCATCAGGCTCTTGAGCAACAAGGTATGTTGATTGTAGAGTTGCCTGCATCGATCATAGTCACAGAAATTCAGTACACAAAAATTTGAACGTTTAAGGTCTGCAGAAGAAACTAGAATTCATATCCACCAGGATAGGTTTGTTAAGCAATAAAACAACTACATCCATGCACCTCATTACAACATAATCTTTCATTTCCTTTGTCTTCTGTCTCTCTTCTCCCCACTCAACACAAACTTAACCAAGATATGCAGTACTAAGATAGTACAGGAACTTAGTTGAAAAGCTTTCAACTCTTATAAAAGGCTAATCTACAACAATTGGTTACGAAAAGAAAATAACAATAACGCAACGAAAACCAGTTACCCAGCTAGTTTTTGAGTCTCTGAAATCAAAATAAGTTTCTTAAGACTTACTGCATCAGTCTCAATAACATTGTCAGCTTCTTCATAATCAGCCATGTCGGGTATATCTTCTTCGTCTTCAGCGCCCCCAAAATATGAAGGTATAGATCTTACGGTCTCCTTCTGCCTAATTTCCAAAGTCTCCATTGAAGGCAAGTTTTCCTCCACATCACTCCTATCTGTCAAGAACAGAAGTTGTATAAAGTCCAAATTTTCATCTTATAATCAAAACACGTACTATCTCAAGAAAAAAGATACCTTTAGGTTTGCCATGAGTCGCCAACCAACCATCATTGTCTTCATTATCAAGGAGAATCTCTCCTCCAGCAGCTTCATATTCTTCTTCCACCGATGCAGCCCTCCTTAGGCAAGGGACTAACCACAAAATCACCAAATAACATTTACTAGTACAAATCATGATATGCAATTCAAAGGGAAAATAATTGACACAACGAGAAAAGAAATTCAAGTAAGATTATGGTCAATTCAATTTACCATTTCGGGTAATCAAGTATTGCTTTTCGGCCGGTAGATAGGACTTCCTCTTGCTTGGCTCTCCTGATTCCCTAACATTCATAACAATCCACCGAGTTAAATTGTTATACTTGAATTATGAAGCCAAATTACAATTTTACCAAAAAAATAATCCATTGATATCGATATACAAATGAAACTTAAAATTGATTCATATAATTCTAAAACTATCAAAGCAAAGTTACGAACTTAGAAAAAAAAAATTGAAAGCGGGGAGAAGAAAATACCAAGACCAGGTAGGGCATTTGGAGACGAGATTATCGCCGGCGATGATGAACTCGGAGACGCTCAAAACTCCTTTCTCCTTAAAAGCAGAGACGGTTCGAGGCCCTGTTATTCTCTCCACTGTTCCTTTAAATGCTTCGTGAATCCTCTGAGAAAGCACCATCTTTTTTTAAATTTCCTAATTCAAATTGAAACACGACCAGAGAACATACAAGAATCGAAACCCTAGCGATTCAATCGAAGACGAAGATTGAAACCCCAGAGACCCGCACGGAGGAGGTAGACAGAGAAAGAGATTGTTGAATGCGTTTGCCTTGTGTTGCGTGTGTCTGGGGGAGGGAAAAAAGGATACAGTGTGGCGTAGGACTTCTCCTATCTGTGAGCCCGTTTCCCACGTGGCTAGTTGGGCATCCCGATTGCCCAGTATTGAAGTCGCAAACGGACGGCTCTGATTGATTAGTCGCAAATGTGGGCCAACGCTATTCATTAGTACTTTGTCAAACCCCAATTTGTCGAAGAAAAAAGAAAAAGAAATATTTTCCATTAAAATTTGAAAAAGATAAAGATTTTAATAATAACCGTAGAGAATAATGATTCAAATTTTATAAGTAATTTATTTAAAATTAATTAGATATTATTTGATAAATAAAAAGATTTATAAAAAAATTTTTTTAAAATTTTTAATAAGTTTGTATACTTATAAATAAATAAAATTTTTATAATCTTAAATATGAAAAAAAATAAAATATTGTAGGGTTTTATGAGATAGAAATTCTATAAAATTATTAGATATTTACGTCTTATAGGTATATGTTTATATGTTTGTGAGTGGATTAGAGAAGACTGTGAGTGTTTACGTAGGTATAGTGTATGTGAGTAAATTAAAGAAGATTGAGAGAGTTCACATAAATATGATGTATAGATGCATATGGATATGTATTTGTTTGGGTTGAAAATATTTCACATGACTAGAAGATATTACAAGGGTCTGCGGTTATTAATTATGAGTGATTGTTTTGATGTTTTAATGTAATTCTTTACAACTATAAGATCTTTTTTCTTATCTGTCGATATAAGTTAATTAGATCAAATCATGTTAAATTACTGTCTCTTGTGTGATTAATTAATTATTTAATTTTACTTCGACGGACTTGGATGTTTGATTGAATTAGTGCTTTTTGTCTAACAAGTGATATCGGAACTACAGGTTCGAAACATGAGAAGAGGTAAACTTAGAAAAACTTGACTCAAAGAAGAAGTTTCAGTTCATATTTTAAAAATCGATTTATGTGAAACGTGTTTATCTAAATTTGAAAGTTATCACTTAACAGATTTTCATACCAAACTCAATCCATCAATTAAGTTTGTAGCGTTTACTAATTTTACCATAAGAGAAGATTATGAGACTTACATTGTAAGTGGAGCCAATTATGTCTAGTATGAAGATTGATAAATTATGAAATTTGAGTCAATATAAAGATTATTTGAAATAGTGGCTCAAATCTTATAAGTGATTTATTTATCACTTAATAGGTTTCCATACCATACTCAATCAAATCCAATTAAGTTTGCAGCATCTACCAATTTCGTCATAGGAGAAGATTATGAGACTTACATTGTAAGTAGAGTCAAGCATATCTAACATAAATATTGATAAATGATGAAATTTGAGTCAATGTGAAGATTATTCAAAATAGTGACTCAAATCTCATAAGTGATTTGTTTGAAATTTGTTAGATATTACTTAATAAAAAAAAAACTTGTAGAAAAAGAATTTTAAGAGAAAATAGATTCTTAATAGATAAGTTTATATGCTTATAGATAAATAGAGTCTTTATATGTTTAGGTGTGAGAAAAAGATGTAAGAGAGTTGTAAAGTTTTATAGAACAAACATCTTATAAAATTATAAGAGATTTATATTTTATGAGTGTGTATGTTTATATATTTGTGAATGGACTAAAAGAAATTGAGAAGGTTTGCATAAATATGATGAATTGGTGCATATGAGAATATATTTATTTAGATTGAGAATATTTCATAACTAGATAGATTAAGAGGATTTATGGGTATTAATTATTAGTGGTTGTTTTGATATTTTGATGAAATTCTCTATAATTAATAAATTTTATTTTTCATCAATTGATATAAATCAATTGAGTCAAATCATATTAAATTATCATGTCTTATATAATTGATTAATTATTTAATTTTATTTTCATTGACTTGATCAATTGAAGAGACTTTTTAACCTTATAAATAATATTAGAGCCGCGATCCTCACATTAATAAAGACTCGTTGCTTCACCTAATTGGCTCCATTATTGATGGCGTTGGGCCACTCACTGGAATTTTGTTATTGGAGCCATCAAGGTTGGTGATCACTGTCTCGAAAAAGCGACGAAACTGAAATATGCCTTTCTTTTCCTTTTTGATGTTTCACATTTTTGTGTGAAAAGCAACATTAATTATCGCCATGTTCGATTTCTTGTAAGAAGAAACCAGAATATTTATGGTACATTATTTGACAATGACACTATATTTCGGTCCAATGTCGACTGAATAATAGAATAGAGAGCTTCATTTCCTAGTCCCTGTTCACAAGGTACATAGTACACTGTACATAGTACTAAACTTAGAAGCTGGACCAGTTATGACACAGTAAATGCAATTAATCGAGATTTCAAGAAAATTTCAATTGCCAAGAATCAATTTTGACTGGTGTTTATGATAACATAATATGCACTCAGATACAGTGTATTTAACACTGGTTATGAAATATGGTATATCCAGGCTCTTTGAGTGCAGGGTGGGGGGGGGGGGGGGGGAGGTCTTAATTCTCAGACATAATGGCGGAATGGTTGATTTGTTTTGTTTCTCTACTGTCGTTTTGGCAAGGGTTTATGCGATTTTTCTGGGGTTCGAGCCTTTGTTTCCAAAGAAGCCATAGGAGAGTGATCATGCTTGAAAGTCGAATCAGCCTTTGCCTGATCACCCCGTATTTTTTTTCAGTATGTAGGGCTAGCTGCATCGTTTTGGCTTTGGATCCACATGAATTCATTATCGTTTTGACACTCTAGCATAGTGGAAAGAGTTTCAAATATGCACCGTAAATAGGGTTTTTTGTAGGAGGTATCCATATTCAATGGAGCTATAGGAAGATTTCTTTGGAATGATGTTACTTATCTTCTCGCTTATTAATTTAATTGCAGGAAAAAGAAAACCCTCAACTAATGCTTTGGAAAAGTTTTGCTCAACGTTGTCTGATTAATTTTATTGATGAGTTGGACTGACGAATATCGACCTCCATCTTCATCCGAGAAATCCTACAGAGAAGTCAAAATATTTTAGATTTTAGTGCATGTCTCCCGACAGGACGCATAAAATCTTCCAGTAGACGCAAATCATCAACCAAAGCAGCAAAATCATGCCTCTGTGCACCAATAGAAAATCCTCGAGCATGCATTAAACTGAAAAACATTGGATTCTTAAAGTTTATTTGTTTGTTTTCTGCAAAAGAAAAAAGAAATGAAAATGACGAGGATCCCAGCAGCCTCATAAAACTTGTCATAACTTTGGATGCAGCTAGCTGAGATGCATGAACAGCTTTTGTTAAAATAAATGTTATGTTTGTTTTGTTCTCTTCAATTTGGATGCTAGAGAAAACTGAGTTATGGCCCATCCATGTCAATCGTGTTATTCCACTGTCTTTTCAGAATTCACGCACATGCTTTCCCTTTCTCCTGTCAAAAGTTAAACACCAACAAAGAGCATCATTTTTGTTTCTTCAAAAAAAAAAAAAAAAAACCCTTAATTTTACATTTGCCATGCTAGTTCTTTAATGGTCATTGGTCCCCGAACAGCAAATTACTAATCAGGTTCCACTCAAAAAATTACCCAAAAAAGAAAAATAAAAAAAAAAGTAGGAAGAAAGGAATTTGCTCATTTTTTCACATAAGAATTTATGGAGGATTATAACTTAATCTGTTAGATGCTAAATTCTATATATGATCTTGAAAATACATATATATAATTATATAATGATTTGCAAGTTAATGTCGGGCATATGATGAGGTGATTGGCACTAATTTATATAGAATCGCTTCATTGGAGTGCATGTGAGTTTCCATGATGAAGTCCATAAACAAGAGCTTATAAATCCTCGTGCTAGTCAGCATTGACTTTAAACATTACATCAAAAGCATACAAGTATCTCATGATTTTAGGAAAATAATTTGATTCTCTTCTTTCAGTTGTATCCCATTTATATATAGTTCGTACTGTGACCTACTGATTTCAAGTTACCTTTTTAATTAGACCCTAATCATTAAAATCAGTTGTTATTCATTGTGGATCAAATGCATAACTCTCTCATCATTAATTTGTTTAAAATTTAAAACCTTACTGCATATCTTATGACGGCAGTTCTAATTAATTTATCATCCACATGATGGTCAGCTTTGATATATCAACCTTAAAATCTCAGAGATGACTATGTTTTTCTCTTACTTTGCATCATGGTGTTAAATAAATTGATGTGCCAACCACGTTTTTTTCCTGGTTTATAATAAGTGCAAGAAGAGAAACTCAAACTTGTGACATTTTCTTCAGCAGTAAGAAGTGCAAGATTGTTGTTAAGTGAGGATTATATATATTTTCAACCTATGTTTAGTCAAGCGTAATTGCAATTCTCTTTATTAGAACTTCAATAAAATAATTTGTTTAACCTTTTAAGATAATTGATCATCCAATTCAATATGATATTTTATATTTAGTTTCACTTTACTTTTTACATTTCATAGATGATGATTGAATGAACATGTGTTAAGATGATAGATAATTATTTAATATCATATTCTTAAAAGTTACTGTATTAAAATATCAAGCATCCAATTTTTTACATTATTTTTATTAATTTAGATGAAAATGAAAATGATTAGGTATTCTAGTAAGGGAAAATAAAAGCCCTTACATTGATGAAACTATAATTGGGCTTTGAAGTTTGTTTCTCACCTATTTTATACATAGTTCCTAGTGTGAATATTCACAGTTTGCAGGACAATTTCCTCATGAATTTGGGTGTTATGTATAAACCATGAATTTTCTAATCTTTATTTTGTCACCTTAATGTTTTCTCCGCTGTGAAAAAATGTTAAAAATTACACTTTGTCTAGGATCTGGCTAACAATTAAAGAAACACAATGCCCGAATTGGCAAATTCTCGTTTACATGCACACGCCATTGATTAAAAAAAAAAAAAAAAGAGAAGACATCTTTCTTACTTTACCACAGATGAAACTTTTCTATTGATGTTGATGTAACAGTCACAACTCACTAGATAGTAGAAAC